CCTTTCATCCAATGCATCAACTATATATGTAACATATTCAGATTTTGGATCCCAGCCTAGCTTTGCGGTACACCGTATATTCTTCAAGAATGGTAGTCTATCTTCATTTATTGCAATTGCCAAGTCAATAGGATCTAATTTGGTTGAAGTACCAAGCATTCCACTACTCTCTATATATAATGTTTTTAATGGTCTTGGGTATGCCAAATAAGACAAATTTTCTTCGTCAAAAAAAGAGCTGGAAACGTAATCAACCGAGATTTCCAACACAGTCAAGTTAGGACAATAGTTGAAAACTAAGTCCAAGGCATTATCCTTCAACCCAGGCATCGGATACTGAACTTTCAAAGAGGTCAAATTCTTCCCAAACCTGAACAATAAGCTATGTAGACCAAAGTCCTTTATTGCTGGGCAATGTGCTAATTCCAACTGAGTTATTGTAGACGGAAATTCGGATTGCATCAAGAAATCATCAGTTATACCTCCTGAAAGTCGTAAAAATGATAGTCTGGTGGGCCAGTGGATACTCTTAAAATCGTGTATTTCAATAGATGATCTTGGAAATGACAAATGTGTTAATTCATCCAAACTATTAATTGAGTTGAACAATTCTATCAAATTTAACGTTTCTGACACAAGTCTTAAATCTAGGATTTTCAATTTCGTACAATTCTTTAATGCTATTAGTGGCCCTAGTCCAAAACTTGTCTGAGGAGCAACGAAGACTTCTAGATTTGCTCTAGATCTTTTTAGTAACTTAGCAACAAAAGCGTTTTTACCTGTCTGAATAATATACGAAAGATCTAGCTCTCTAATATTATTACCGATGGTTTTGTTGGATGATATGGTATCTACAAAAGCAAAAAAATTAGTTGCTTTTAAAGTAGGTCTCCTATAGATCATCGGAAGTGCAATTAGGTAAAACAATTTACAAACCCTTAGATATTTTGGCTTCAATTTTCCTTTTGCCTCTAGAATTTCGAGAATGTAAACTATTATTTCCACAGGCAATTTCATCATCTTCAGAGCTGATTCAAATTCTTCCTTACGAACTTCCATGGTTCTATTGAACTCTTCGTTTTTGTTGTTAATGCAGCATCTTAAAACATCAACTTTTTCAAACTGAGATCTTGGCCATATTTTGTTCTTAAAATTCTGTTGATTCGTTAAAACGTAAACCGAATTGATACTCAAATTAGTATTCGTGTTAAAATCTTCATAGTTTCCATATTGGTCTTTCGACTGCAATGCATTTTCTTCTTCTTCGTTTTCATAGTCTTCGTCACTACTATTAACTTCGGTGAAATTAGACTTATAAACGTACCTCCGGTAGGGAGGACGTATTTTCTTGGATCGTCTTTTATTAGCTATCTTGACAAATGTATGTTTCTTTTACAGAAGAATAGATCGGAATGCTACTATTTACAGGTTCATAGATTCTTCTGTTGATATGATAAAGAAGTAAAAATATTTAAATTCATCCTACAAGTGTATTATTTGAAGATCATGCCCCCGGTTTCGAGCGATGATGCGATTTTTATTTCTACACAAATGCTGCAAATTTATTCACTCTTCATCATACAATCTCACTGGTGTAAATAGACTGTTTTCTGGGACCGTTCTCAAGTCATAATACCTCAGTAATTTATTAAGTACCATTTTTCTAGCTTTCAAATCATAAGGTACCTTATCACTTTCCGTATTGGTTTTGATATTGCCAGACCTTGCAGCATTGGGGGATAAATGGAATTGTTTCATAGCTAGAAATGGTTTTGATCCTGGCTCTCTATTATCTATATTTTTGATACGCTTTGCTCCTTCGGAACCTTTACCCTTTGATTTTTGGTTTAGTATAGGATATGCAATAAATATTTGGTAAAATATTTTGGGAAAGAATGATAAGACTGCCACGTAAAATCTAAGAATATTGAAAGGAATTTTAAAACAAACTAAAGCAAAAAGATTTTTCAATCTCTCTAAAGGAGCTAAATAAGTATTGATAATTGTTTCAAGCTTTTCAGTTGTAAGAAATAAATGCTTTGTTAAGAGTTCCCATATAAGACTCTTAAGTAGTCTGGTAGTTGCTGTATAATTCTCTATTTGCTCTTTGCAAAAACTCATTAAAATAGGTGTAATTTCTGAATGCAAAATCTGTTTTGTTGTCAAGGGATCCTTAATTAAGTCAATAATAGAAATATTATGCAAAATATTCAGCACAATAAGCTTCAATTTAAATAGGATGTTATAGTTCTTCTCCTCCATATTACCCTTTATGCTCAGCTGTTCAGAACCATACCCTATCAACTCGTTTATTCTATAATCCAATAGGTTGTCCAGAATATAAGGTATATTACAATTATTATCTTCGCAGAATAGATTTCTTGTCACCAAGTTCTTAATCGATGACGAGAATGGTAAGCCATGTAATGAAAAATGACCACTACCAACCCCCTTCCGTTTATCTTCTTTTCCACTGTCTTCATCAAAATAATTCGAATTATAATCTGAAACATTCTCGAGATCAGATTGTTTTATATCGATCCGATGCAGATGTGGTTGTTCAAATATCGATTCGTTGAAAGACGATATGTTTGTAGAACTGGAATTCAGTTTTTGAGGTCTAAAGGGTTTCGAAATATTTTCTGAGAACTTTTCTTGTTTATCAACTATACCTCCTAGCACTTTACCTATATCTTTTTCGTTTCTGGCTTCTTGTTCTCCCCTTTCTTGTAGTTCCATTAATTCGTTATTTAGTTGGTTCTCTTCTCCGTCTTCTTCATCTTCTTCTTCTATATCAGATTCTTCAAATATTGTGTGCATTGGCTGCTTGTCATTGTTCAACAATGATGGTAAGGACAAACGCTTGTAAGACTTTTGAGATAACTTCTTTTCAGAAGAGGATAAATTTAAGGGAAATGGTTTCAAAAAAATCGACCGTTGGTTATCCAAATCCCCGTTTTTATGATTATTTATTTGACTTATTACCTTCTCAAGCTTTGTCAATGACATATTGATCTTAGAATATTCATTAGCTTGAGTAATTAATAGACTCTGAATCATTTCATCTTGTCTGGTTGCTTTCTCTTGTAGTACTTCTATACTCTTTTTGTAGGGAACAACACCACCTTCAAGTTTTGCATTTAATTTGCCGGTACTGACTAGACTGCCGAACCCATTCAATAGTCCACCCATTTTATTATTATCTTCACTTGAAGAACTTGAAGGTATGACTAAATCCATACTGGCATTTTTCAATCCGTTAGATTTCAGACGATCCTTGTTGATTTTATCTTGAATGTCATCTACTGTGTGTTTCTGTAATCTTTCCGTCAAGATCAAGACCAACCTAAAAATCTCCAAAAACAGAAATAGCATAATATTTAAATTACTGAAAACTAATCTCCTTCTTGAATCTTCTATATTAATGTAGTTTCGAGACCATCTCATGATCCCAGCTCCCATGCAAGTGCATACAAAGCACAACAGAAGCGAATAATTTTCATATTTGCAGAGTTTCCTGAAAGCCTTAATTTTTTTAGTGAGAATCTCGCTATTCACCTCCTCTGTCGTGGACACCCTGTGCACGAATGCATTGGTGCTTTCCAAAAGCTTGCTCTGGGCTTCAATTATATTTTTGTGCCAATTCCAGGGCCATTCGATCGTGAAGTTTATAAACCAACTCACCAAAATAACCATGAAGCTGTCGGTTATCAAATTCGCCATATCAATGCTCGTACGACCGTTGTCCCCCATCGCTGGTGTCATAATCCCAATTATCGACGGTAGCAATATCACCACCAACGCAAAGTACTTAATAACCCCCCGGTCTATCTTTGAATCTGACTTCTCCATCTGTTTGAACGGCGACAAAATAGCCTCTATGTCCGAATTGAAAATATCAATTTCCTTCTCGTATTCTTCATTTTTCAGAATCCCTTCCTGCTTCACTTTCTCATGTCCTAATCTTTCCATTTTCCTCTGGTAGTATAATTGTTTTTTATCGTTTGCATCGCCCTTACTTTTGACGCTATGGCCATTAACCAAGGCGCCTGTCTCCTTTTTGTGCCTATTATTTTCTACCAGCTTCTCCACAATCAATGATTTCTCTTTTCCTTCATTAGCGTCCATCCAAAACCCTATCATCACTAGTATTCCAAGTGGCTTCCTTTCTGACGCTAGGAAGATAGTAACACATTTATAGTCAAAATGCCACCTCCGGCTGTTTTTGCAACCCAAATCATTTAACTTCCTAATCAGGAAATAAGTGATTTTATTTCCGTTATTGATTTCATCTTGTGATCATTTGCCATTTTTTGTATGTGTACCGGATAATTTTACACAAAATCAAACAAGGACCAAATTTCAACGAAAAATTTTCTCCCCCAGTATAAGATAGTTAATTATTATAATTAATTTAGTGATAAATAGATAGTTATATCGTAAAATGGTTTTAGTTCAAGATTTATTACACCCATCCCCTGCCTCAGAAAGACAAAGCCACAAATTGAAGACTTTGGTCCAAGAACCAAGATCATTCTTCATGGACGTTAAGTGTCAAGGATGTTTAAACATTACCACTGTTTTCTCTCACGCCCAAACAGCCGTCAGTTGTGACAATTGCTCTACTGTTTTATGTGAACCAACTGGTGGTAAGGCTAAGTTGACCGAAGGATGTTCATTCAGAAAGAAGTAAATGGAAGTTCATAGTAATTTATGAATCGCATGACATATTCCTTGAAGGGTAAATTTGACATTAATGTATAATAGAAATCTTGGTTTGTTAATTGAGGGTCCGGTATTGACTCTATTCCTTGAGACGCTGAAAGTTTGAGCTATTGATAGTTCTGGGGCTACGTTTTATAGATAAAGATATATGAATTCGCAAAGCAATATATAGTTACCAATAAACTGTTCTGTTCTTTTAGACATATACTGTGATATTACTATTTACAGGCTGTATAAATCTACCTATGTACGTAATTTGGCCTCTGGGGGTCCTACTATTTGCCATCGTAATCGGCTGGGTTGACGGTGAAACCCGCCTTCTTCCCCTTGGTTTTGTATTTCTTTGAAGACTCAATCGAAGTCGCCAAGGAGTCAGCAAAACTGACGATGTCGTCCTCGAAAGCATTTTCCGACGAGCTGACAATCTTTTTAAACTTCTTCTTTCTTTGTTCCTTTAAGAAAGTTTTCTTGTGAGCCTTGGAAAGAAAGTCTAGTTTTTCTCTGGTCTTATCAGAAATCTGGTTTTTCACAATTACACTCTTCTTGCCTAATGCCCATGAATCGCCTCTGTCTGCCTTTCTTGCATCATGATAGACTTGTTTACCCAAACTCTTAGGTATTTGCCAGGTTTCGATATTACTAGATGGTGAACAGACATTTAACTTCACATTATTCTTTATTTTTGTAGGATTGTCAATAACTCTCGGCCAGTTCGTAGGATCAAATTCTTCCAACTTGTTTGAACTGTTATATTCACGTTCGCTTTCAATTTTCTTGATTGTTTCGACGTCATTTAACGCTCTTTCGGCAATCAAATATGAAAACGATCCTGATTCAGTGTTCCTACCTGATGGTCTTCCTGAGCCTTCTAAATTCTGCAAAGTCTTCTTCGAAAGTTTATCGATACCAAATCCATCTTCCGAAGATTTATCCCAAGCGGTTGATAATCTGCGTCCTTTTTTCAATTCCATTGTATATTTTGGTCTTTCAACTGTTTTATTGAAAGAGCAGAAATTTAATCTGTGTTTGTGAGATGGGATTTTATAATATTTGGGATCGCCTAGTTGCAATGGGCATTTTCCGTGATGAGGGCAAGGAGCGATTATACTTATATGAAAATCAACACTTTCTGTGCCTAACTTTGCTTCTTCTTCCACAGGAATAATTTCAAACTCCTCATTATCCTCCATTTCGAATTTCAAGTCGTCCTCGCTAGGTTTACCATATTTCTCATTTAATTCTTGTTCAAACAACTGTTCATCTTCTCTTTCATATTTCGCAAGTAATTCCTCCTCAAACTTGATATCATCCTCAGTGATAAGCTGATCATCCTTTTTTAATTTCTGAGGTTTCAATTTCGATCCTTTAACGTATGGTCTTGGAACTTTTCCAATTTCAGTATTATAAGATTCTGGCCTAATCATTATTTGCCTTGCTCTTGCAATTGTTTCAAATCCCAATGCATTACCTCTTTCAACTAGTACTAAATGACCTCCAGGACTCAATAATTTTAAGATCATATGAATATTGATGTCGATGTCTCTTGGAAAATTAAATTCTCTGGTTAATAATGCCTGGTTTACAATAATTAAATCGTATTTTTTGGTTACAGGTAAAGAATCTCTCAACTTCGTTTTAAGTTTAATATCCGATGTCAGAACAGGTCCAATATATTCCTCATCCAATTCTTCTTGTTCTTCCTCTTGTATCTCTGATTCCTCTTCGATTTGCAGTTTGTCACTTTCTGTAACATCGTTTTCTTCGCTTACATCATTAGTCGAATCTTCCTCTACGTCCTCTTCAGTGAGATTTTCATTCATTTGACGAGACAAAATGATCTTGGCTCGCTTCTTCATCTCAAAATTATTTCTCCCAACAATGTACGCATCTTTTTCATCAGGAATATATTCATCCCCCATTATTTCGTTCAATGCAACCATACCCGTAGCTGGCCCATATCCAATATCAAGAACACTTTTTGGATTAAAATTGTCCTTTCCAACCCTTTTTTGCAATTCTAGCAATACCTGACGGACATGTGAATAATCCTGCAAAAATAAAGCTGCAATATGTGCATCACAATCTAAGGCCGTTTCGGGTGCATTTTGAATCTGATCCTTATTTAAACTCTGGTAAATCTTTGCTGCTTTTTCTCTTAGTCTATCGGGGTATACCATCCTTAAAATATTATTATTGATGCAATTTGCAATCTCAGACGGCAATTTCGTGACACTCCGATCACTTCTTCCCACCAACGTTAAGTCATGTAGTCTCGCTTCTTCTGCAGTATCTCCTTTAATAAATGATCCATCTTCATTACGAAATGGTGAATCGTACATATATTGTCCATTTTGGGGGCCTTGCCTCTTTACATAATCTTCGTCTGTCTCATTCAAATTATTATCCTTCTTCAAACTTTCGCTTCTAACAAGCTGTCCAAAAAGCTCACCATGTCTTCTCATTTCAAACGGTAACGATGATGCTTCTGACGAAACAGATGACCCAAAATCATCATCTTTAATAAATTCATAAGTAGAAGAGTCTAATTTCAACTTGTCATGATCACTAGATGTCGATCTATATTTTACCACGGAGTGATTTGGAATACCAAATCGTCTTAGCTTGAAAGCAGTCGATCTCCTGGATAATCCTCTAATCATATAGCACAAATCCTTTATTAATACTACTTTTTATTGACTTACAATCATCTACAATGATGTGAAAAATTATCTACTAGTAGATGGGTCGCATATAATGTCTAACCTGCAAACTCACTGTGCGACATTATTTGATAATATTTTTACACGTTTGTTCATTGGATATCAAAGTTGAACGACGGGAAACTAAATAAGGGTCATTGTGTGAATTATAATCATTATTCTGTCGTATAATATGTTTGCTAGAAGTTCAGTCCATTATGGTGCATCTTTAGCAGTCGTGGGAGCATTTTTAATCAAACCTTCGCAAATCCTGAACGAGCCTAAACGTAGATTTTATGAAGATGAATCGGACGTTTTTCCAGTTCCTGGCACCGTTACGCCATCGCCAGGCACAGAAATAGAAGCATTGGGTCCAAACAAATTAGTTGACGGCATTTCGGTACGTTCCACCAGCACACTTGAGTCATATTTCAGAGCTATTAGAGAAACTGCAGTTCAAGGGATTAATCTGGTCCAACGTTACATGAACCAAGGATACACGAAGTACAACGAAACGGAAAGAAAAGTAACGGATACCATGACCGAATTACATTATAAACCTGAAGATCTTTTGCCAAGTACTCTTTACATTGTGATAGCAACTATGTCCGGTAATATCATGGCTCGTCAAAGAGGTCTCATTGCAAAGACTACGTTCCCATTGGTGTTAGGTTTAGCATCGTTCAGATATTTGTTGCCGCAAACATTCAATAATGTGTCGGGTTTTGTCTGGAACTTAGAGAAAAGGGCCTTACCTGACTTGGCCGAACAACAACAATTGGCTCTCTCCAAAGCAGACCAGTTTGTCCAAAGTGTTGAAAAGTCATCGCAAAGAAACCAGAAGCGTTTAGAGGATGGTACCAACTCCTTGAGAAAGTCCATTGCCCATGTTACTGGTTTAAATATAGATGAGGAAGTCTCTAAAAAATAAACTAGAATAGATCACCTACAGCTTACTAAGTCCATATTATAATTAAAAGTTCTTTATTCTTAGACCATCTTGAAACAGTTTTACTGCTTTATTTATTTCACTACTGCTTTATTAGTATCGTTCAATATATGAAATATTTGTTGATAAAATTCACAAGCCGCATGCAATTTTTTTGGTTGCACAAATATAAAGATACAGAATTCACAAACTTTGATATCTTCTTGTTTACATAAAATCCGATACCATCCGTAATATACAACTCTTTGAGACCAAGGCGATATTGGTATTAAGAATTATTACATATGTCGTAAGTATTCCTTAATCTTTAAAAATCTCAATCCGTCAAATACTAACAATCTTTAGCAATATCTTTCATACCAAAGGTATAACAGGTTCAAATCCTAAAGGAGGATATTCGGCTGAACTCCCCAGTGTTTCCAAATACTCAACTCCTACTTCTAATTTCAATAATGAAAATATGTCTGACTCGTTTATGGTTCGTCCTACGACTGCATTTATGAAGGTGTTTGATAAGTTCTCTGCAATATCCGGGTTTGGTAATACGTCGGGCAATAATACAGATAATATAAACAGTTTTGCAAATAGTGCCAACAAAGATAAAAAGCAGAATAATGTGCTGGCGTCACAATTGCAAAATAAGATAGGAAAGATTTCAAGACTCGAAAATAGGCTTATGCATTTACAAGATAGTCTCACCAGCGATTTAATCGACTGGGGTTCAGGGATTCCTAATCCTGATAGTGAGCGTATGGTCAAGAACTTTAGTTTGTTATTGGCAGCCCAGAAGGATTCTAGTGTATTAATAATTGAAAAATTAGACAAGCTCAAGTTGAATTTGGCGTTTGTAAACGAAAGAGAGAAGAAACAAAACGATCTACTTGCTGCAAAAACGAAAATATTAAAACAGTTGCGTTACAGTGAAGTAAAATATGGCCCAAATGCTTCTTCAACGACACTCTTGAAAGAAAAATTAGAAGAAAATGTTTGTAATTTAGGTGTTGTTGAAATACAATACATAAGGGCCATAACAAAAAATTTGAAAGATGCATTAATTGATTACTTATATGCCTTGCAGTCTGTTTCGGCTAATATAAGTGAGGCTACTAATGATTATTACGAGGTTTTATTATCCTTGGAATCAGGTCATGATTTGGCACGTAATTCTCCTAGAAAAATTGGTAATGGAATGGGCATAGGTCTTGGTTTAAATAATAGGAAGGATCTTAACTTTAATACTTCAAATTCGTATGGGCTCCTGAGTAAATCGGCAAACGATGCTGACTACAACCTGCCCAAGAATAGTGATTTTCAGGAAAGAAATAGCCCTATAAGAATGACCTCACACGTTGTTGAAGATTATCAAAATTATACCAATTGTGTTGAATGCCAGAAAAATAACAAGTCTCACCATAGACTTATCACCCCTTGTACACACAATGGTCAAAACATTGACCCTAGAACCTCCAAGTCCACACATATGTCACCTACACGAATTGCCCCTGATAGCATCAGTGAACAAGGGTTTGAAATAAAAGATGGCTACCTGCCTAGTGAACATTGGAATTAATTCATTAAATGCATTTATTCGTATCTTAAATTTTTAGAAAATAAATCTACTCATCTCATATATACAGTGATGTATTGCGGTGATTATTCCTAGTACAACAGTACTACAAGAATAAATTAGCACATCTTTATCTCTAGTTTCTATTACCACTTCTAAAAAACTTTTTACCTATCTCATATGACGAAACCATAATTGCACACGATGGAGCAATCTTCAAGACACGAGGACCTATTCCACTGTATAAGGCTCTTAATCCTTCTTGTTTATAAATGGTAGTTAAGAATTTGAACATCGAAGGTTTCTTTTGGGCTGTCTCTTTGCCAACTTGTTCGCTTGTAATTTGTAATCTTGTCTTTCCGACATCAAAAGGGTGGGTGCAAAATGCTCCAATTGTTCCGGATAATGAACCTGATATAAAACTCGTAGCAAAGATTTTCCAATCCTCAACTGGCTCTGTTATGCTAGACTTCTGAAAATCGGCCCTAAGAACCGTACTTATTTTATCTTTGAATAGCTCGTAACACGACCAATAAATTCCAGAAAACGGCACATCTCTCCATAATGTAATTTTTAATCCTCTGAATAAGGTTCCCACACCCTTCTGTTTCACGATTGAATACAGATCCTTAAATAGATGGGATAAGATTTTTGGGTTAGCCAGTTTGTCAGAAGGTATAGATTGCAATCTAGTTTTTATTAATTCTATAGGAGCAACAAAAGTCGCTGCCATCACTCTTGCAAAACATCCACAAACTAATGGGTTTATTATATGTGACTTTAATGGTGAATTATCTCTTACGTACTCATATCCCGTGAAATAGATGATGTTTGATGGAATTGTCATAAATAATGTTAGAGATAGACCCCTCCACAATGTAAATATTCCTTCATGCTTGCTGATAGTTGAAAACCCCTGAAACGTCGACGTGATTTTAAAACAGTTTTCGGCACTCTTACAATAGTTTTGAGATAACCAGAATAATTCTGGTGGCATTCCGGCCGTTGATTTATGCTTCGCTATTACATCCGCCGGGAAATGCACTTCACAACATGGCTTACTAATAGGCAAGATTTCTTGTTGTTGAATACGAATCCTCACAACATCGAAAGGTGTAACTACTAAAGATGTCACGAACGATCCCAGACATGCACTAATCATTCTTTGTAATAACGTTATATCTTCATTACTCTTTGGTGATAAGCTGGTAAGCGATGTTTTGGCTCTTTGTATCGTCGATAAATTATTAAAACGGAGATCATCTTCCTCTATACCCGCCGCTAGCTCAGAAGACATCGACATTTTCCTAAGCTTATTCACTAATGGCCTTATGTTCGATATCTAAATATTAGAAAGAAATATGTATTTAAAAGTTAGTGCACAAAAATTGCTGTTGATGGCGAGCACTGTCACTCCGAGAACCGGTATTATGCAAGAAATGCTTCTTATTATATATAAACGTAACTACTGAACTAACTAGTACTCCTGTATAACGTCATTGCATGTGTACACATTGATGTGTCCATCTTGATTGTAATTTGTAGCCATCATCATTCTATGCGGGTGAAAAGTGGTACTTGACAAATAACTTGACGTTCTATTTGACAAGTATGTGTCATGAGGATTTTTCAAACTGGTTAGTAAATCACCAGATGTAGTCCATAAATTAACAGATTTTGAACCAGTTGTTATTATTGGCGCATGTTCATGGACATCTATACATCTCATAGACTTTTCAGGTGAGTTGGTATACGTCAAAACGGGGTCATTTAATCGTATATCCCACAAATTAACAAACCCATCGGAAGAACCACTGACCAATTCTCTGCAACCACCTCTTTGCATATGAACATTTCTTATTGAACCATGGCCCGTGATATTTTTGTATGTTTGGTCTGGGTTGTTGTTCGCGTTGCGAGTTTTTGAGTGCCAAGTCTTTACCATAGATTCTCTCGAATCTAACCTTCTGTCATAAACTCGTAAACTGCCATCATCGAACCCTGCAATAAAGATATTTCCTGCTACTTGGTCAGATGTTAATGAGGTGATTGACGAGGATGACCTTGCAGGAATATCTACAAGACATAGCTCTCGAGGAGCATCCCATACTCTGATTATCTTAACATCACCGCTGACTAATAGAGACCCTCTCGATTGCTGCCATTCGGAGATTAATCCAGAACTTTTTGAAGTTAACAATAAATCAGTCAAGGCTCTCCAAGACGAAACTAATTCGACATTTCGTTCACCTATACTATTTGGAGTGTGGAAATTTTTATAGATTTTAATGACCCCATCAGAAGAACCTGTCAACAATAGAGGTAAATCGTCTTCGTTAAGAAACTTAATATCGGTAATTTTAGTCCCAAATGGGTTGCAATTAGAAAATTTTCCAACCATTTTATTCATTTCCCAGTCCCATACGGACACATTATCCTTCTCATCACTAGCAACTAATATTTTCTCAAATTGAGTAAACTTGATTAACTTAGGTTGTGACTTATTATTCATAATAGTTAAGCTCTTATTCCAATCTCCTCTGATTGCTACACTCTTTTGAGATTGAGTCTCTTGGATAATAGCTTCGTTTCTATTCCTTCTCCACAACCTTTTGACATATTCTTCCGAGCCAGGTTCGTCAATCTCATTTTTAGACATTTGAGGTTCCTGAAAATATTCACAACTGTATTCGAAGAAACCTGATTCAGCAGCCAATTTCGGTTCGATGGACAATTTTCTGGGTCTGAAACGAGGAGTCTTAGGTTTATATTCGACACCATAGCTGCTCGCAATAGGGCCTGAATTCAAGATTCTAGTAAAATGTTTCAACTCGTTATCGTCATTCATTTGAAATGACTTCATTAGTTTAAAGAGTGATAAATTTTTCAATTTTGAAGAAATTGATTCTGCATCAGAATCATCGCTCTCCGTTGTATTTCTATCCATATCATTAGTTGAAGCTGATCTTGTTTTAATTGAGGATCCATTAATAGTCAACATATTGTTCTTATGCTGTACTGTTGGTCCACTTGAAACTTGACGTCTATTTGGATGAGAACCATTCAAAGAAGCTAATTGGCGGTTGACTATTGGTTTCCTGGGTTTAAAGGACTCATTAATATTAATGGTTGATTTGCTCAATAAGTAGTCTTGCATTTCTTTAACCAAAGGACCTAATTCACTCTCATTTAACTTAACCATAACTGAATCAATTAAAACTTCTGCCATTTGTTTGACTTCCAAATGTGGATCTTCCGATAAGATTAATAATGACTTCCAGAGTGAACTAAAGATCGAACCATAAGCAGGCGATTTTTTACGGAATTCACTCAAATAATTAGAATTATCAATAAGAACAATTTCCTCCTCTAATTGGTTAAACGCTAGAACAAGAAAGAACTTCGAATAAATACTAATGAATTTATTGATGAAATAAACGATTTCTTTTCTAACCATCGAGGATCCATCTCCAAGCAAACTTAAAATGGTATTTGCGAGTCTCAAGTCTTGTTGTCTTAATTCGTCTCTTCTTAAATCTGGTCCAACATTCATATGAGAACGTTGTTGTTGCTGGTGTGATTGCTGTGGTGGTTGAAAGTCTGCTGAATCACTTAAGAAATTAGTCAAGGCTAAAACAATTGAAGTCCTGACTTCTGGTATTGGATCATTTATCATCATCAAAAACTTGTTTAAATAGCCATCCTTATAAATTATCCACTTTCCATCGGGGTAATTCATCCAAAGTTGGGAAAGCAATAAGCAACACCATTGTCTTAATAGAGGATTTTCGCTAGTTGATAGAAACTTCAAACAATTATTAATCAATTCAATAGAAAAACATAACCTTTGACCATTTTTAAAATCCTTAATGAATAATGTTAAAATAAATGCACTCATTGCTTTGTGATCGTCATTAACTAAGATATTAGCGCCTGATCCATTAATATTATCACTACCATTCATTTGATTCAATGGATTTGAATTTAATATTATGTAGAAATAATTGTAGCCTTTATCCTTACATAGCTCTTGCTGTGTGCTTTTATAGTCGATTGCCATAATCCTTGCCCAAATAAAAATCAAAACCGGTTTCAATTCTTGAGCTGGACTTTGCAACAACTTCAATACGTAGGGGAAAATACCAATTGATAAAGAAAGATAAACTGCCCATGGACCCAAATCTAAAAACTTAGATAATAATATCAAAGCTCTTAATCTGTGAACCTGTGAAAGCAAAACTTGCAAAACTATTGGCAATTGCTCCGGTGGCTCTTTTGTAGATGAGCCAGCATACTTCAACCATATTTCAAATGCAGTTAACTGTTGTTCGAAAAAAGTTGAATGTTGATAATTCGCCAAATTAGGAGGAGTTGATACTGTTGAGTTTAAATTGCCTGTGCTCGCTGAAGTAGTAATGGATGCTTGTGCTGAAGAATTGGACTTAGATTGAGAATTGGTTCCTGTTTTTTCCGAGAGTGATTGAGGAAATGGTTGTTGTTTAACCAACAGAGATTGATTTAGCGAAGCACCAGATTGAGGGTCTAGATTACTGTTCTTAAGTAATTGGGCAAATACTTGGTCTATAGCCAAATCCCAGGAATCCCACATACGATGAAATCTGACCGTATCAGGCAATGGTGGATCACTTATAGGATTACAATTAAGATGGGGCATGATTCTTTTAGCTAATAGGAAATTCCTAAACAAAGCTGCGACCATTAAATCCTGCCTAAACAATCTCTTAAATATTGGTCTCGATAAAGATGCCCAAGCTATTGTGTCGGTGATAGCTGTGAATATCCAATTTAATTCCCCTAACGGAGTTCTTCTGTCAGTTAATTTTCCAGGAATGATAACTGTACCAGTAGCGTTTCGAGGTAATAAATTGTAATAGTTTTTCTTTAGTGGGGATTGCATTATGAACCATTTAATACTTATATCGATAGGACATGTCAAACAACATGTAAATAAATCCGCTGGTAAATCTGGACTCATTGGCAAGAGTTCGTTGCTTCTACAAGCCGCCAATTGAATGCAATCTAAATATGCAGAAGTTGGGGATGGCGCACTTAGGTCATGATTGCCTTCATTATCATCATCAATCCTTTTCTGTGCAAATTTCTTGAAATTATGAACAATATTGCCTGCACTGTTACAATCATACACGAATATGACAGGCGCCCCCAACCAGGTTTGCAAATCGTATAAAGATATTGGAATGTATTGTGTATAGCCTCTGTTGAATACCCAAATCTCACCACTGGGGGTCGGTTGTGGGACACCATGCCCGTTGTAATGAAACAAAATCCTCTCATCCTTCGCATTTCGTCTGAGGGTATTACAGAATCGTTTCACGTCTTCCACGCACGGGTCCAACGACTGCTTATAACGAGTTCTCAACGACAATGTCTCATACTGCGATTGCAAGTTCTTTCCGATGGTTTCAATTGCTTTCTTGGTGTCCGAGAAAAGCGATGGATCGCACCATGCCTCGTACTTTGCACACGGGTATGTCTTCATTACATCCGGTGGATCAACTCCCAAATTCAAACACAAAACAAGCACTGCGCTTATGGTTTTCTGTCGCTCCCTCATCACTTTCCAATCAGTAATCGGTTGGTAGTTCTTGATATAATCGCTCGACAGTTTCATCTCTTCTGTGATTGGGTTCCCATTGGTATTATGTCTCTTATCATCGAAATAAATATAGAAAGAATTAGCCAACAACGTCAAAAAGTTCTCTGAACTGTAGTCTTCATCAAACCCATGTCTCATTTTATCGTTTAAAGGTTTCAACGTTCCTGGCCCGTATACCAATTGTGAAGTCATTTTCAAAGATACCTATCAAATGCTTAATATATACCGCCTTTTTTACCTTGAAGTGACGACAGCGACCCAACTGTAAAAACCTTATTGATATATTAGATACCTATATGAAGCTGATAAATACTCTGTGGAAAGTAGGCTAAGATCATACTAATTGATAAAGGACAATAAATTTCGTATTGGAATTGAGCCGCTGGTCACGTGAGTACTCCATTCTATGTTAGTATGGGAGTGATGCTATGGCAAGAACTGTAGATAATCATGATGTTAATAGATGATTCAGAGTGACAATAATGAGGATTGAAGAGTATGAAGAGTTGGCTGGAACTAATACCAATATAAAGTAAATTGAGTTTTCAAAAGGAAAAGGTTTTTGATTTTTCGCCGAACAGTAATAAAGAATTCAAGCCTGTTTAATATATTTGGTCATGGAGGTATCCTATTAATCATAATGGTATTAGTAGCTGTACCACGTCTATCTTCATATTTTTAATATGTGCTTCTCGTTTAGGTTCTGGGTCCCGAAGTGATTAGAGTTTTATGTCTCACAGTTCTTTGATATCTCTTCCTCTTGATTTTCCCAGCTAATAAGTGTCATACAAATTCCCCTCCATATTGAAACCATATGTCATTCTATTTATCGGTATTTTATATACCTGTTCTTGACCTATATCATTTGCAGCCATAGCACACAAGTAGGTCGCGGTTCAGTATTCGTTTTTATTCTGGACCTAGGTGTTTTCTATTTCCTTTACCCATCTTTCCCACATAGACTATTCGATTTTTTTGGATTACATTGTGCATCTTTCTTAAAAGAGGATTTCAGCAGAGTGGGCTTCATCGGAGAGGGGGATTCGTCTCTTTTTTTTACTTTAGGGTTATTTTGCAACCCATTGGTCTTTTTCGTTGCGCGAGAATTGTAAGCTGTAGGAATATGATAATGATAGATACGAATAATGTCACACATGTACTTCTCTGGAGAAAATAGCAATGATTTTACCATTGATGAGTCGAGTAGATAATGTATGAAGGCGAATCCAAAGTTATTCGCTATTCCAGGACGATGAATAACAGAACACGGAAGTCTTTTTGCATACTCACTTATTGCGGATGCGAAATAGAACAGGGTTCACTGAGAAGAAGTTAGCGACCAAAAGCCGTGCATCCATTTTTATGGACACAATTCCTGATTATCTGGCTCTTGTATATATCAGTATTTCAATACTTAGGATATGAGAAGCCCATTGATGACCGGGACGCGGAGGTATACTGAAAAAGAAATGCGATATTGAGGCTGGTTATTATCGGATTATTTCACTGACAACCAAATAGCTCCGATAATGATTATTGTACTGAATGGAATGATGCGAATTCCACGCACGAAGCCGTTTTTGATGAACAGATTATTCCAATGATACCCCAGAAATTACCAAGTAGGGGTTCAATCAAAAGACTGATAATGACATGAGGAGATAATTAAGCATTCTGCTGAAATACTACTATGTTATTTAGTTAATCATTTCATCTATAGATAGGGGTGGCAATTGAATTACGAGAGAATGATAGTAAATAAAGACGACTCTTCGGATTTAGTCGTCTTAAATAGTTTTATGACCAGTTTATGTTTAGATAGATCTTGTATTATAATTGAGATTAAGTAAAGAATATACTCTCATTGAATTATGGAACGGCAAATTTATAATGTAGCTGAATGGTTGCACTACCATATCAATTTCGCAGTAGCGAGGATAAAGTCTAACAAATTTCTTAACACATTGAAGCAAATAAATACAACAGTATAATACAATGTGATGGCATCAATGTACTTCTCAGGAAAGAATAGCAATGATATATTCTATGATGACCCTGATAAGCGATGTATCTACATATATCCATCATTATTCATCGAACTTATGTCTGATGAAGAGCAAAATACAAGGGTCTTTTTAGACACTCCACTTTTGAAAATCAGGAACTTAAACGAGCCTAGGGTATTACCTGCTCCAAAGCATATAATTGACAAGTTTTCAGCATCGGTTTCGATTGGAAGTACGCCCGACTTGTCAGCACTTTATTATATCACTAATATGATGGTAGCCGCTGAATTTAGAGGGACTAATAGTGATGAATTCAAGGATAACTTTCTTGCACCGCTAGATATCGCTATTAGGGGGTCAAAATTCGCTGATCCGCCTTTGCCAAGATCATACCGCTATCCAGTAGCGCAATCAAATAAAGAGGTATGGATTCAACGATACTTTACTACTTACATACTGGAACCAATTGATAGAATTTACAAGTCCATTTGCGGTGAAGATCATGTATTTGGGGGACAAGACACTATAAAGCCAACTTTTACGAATGAGAAGAATTTACGTTTCAATCCTGACATGATTCACTACCTGAAAAACATGCTGCCTTCGTTGCATGAATTCCCTCATATATATTTTGGATTGGGTGATTACAAAACAGAAAGTTATTGTTTATCACAAGGATTTGAAGAATTGAAGACAGCTATAAAAGATTACAAGCAAAAATTATCGAATAGTAGGCCATTGAGGGCGAAGGAAGCCCCGCTTGTTTTTGAAGATAAGGTTAAGAATAAAACTAGAAGAGAAGAATGGTCCCCGAGAGTGGTATTTGCCTTAGTATTACGGAAATATTTTTACCAGGCTTTTCTATGTGGTACCGATAGAGTGTTCATTTCTGATCATCAAGCATTTTCTGGTTTTTTCAAATACAAAATTGTAAGAGATGATGATGTTGGCGACAAAATGGACATAGATTACTACGTTATTAATGATCCTGAGACAATTGCGGATGGTACTACATTAAGGTCTGCAATAGCTGGGTTCTTTTATAACAACCTGGTGGATGCAGTCAAAACTATGGAATCACTTAAAGAAGTATATAAATTAAGATGCATAGAACAAGGATCGGCACTAAATAAAAAAGGCGATCCACTACGTAATGTTGCACCTAAGCCTGCGGAAAGATCCAAGTCCAAACCTACTAGTAGCAAGTCGAGTGAGAAGGCCCATGGAAATCAACTTAAAGACAAACTAAAACTGATTGAAGAAAACGATAACTATGATGGCTTTGATGAAATCCATAGAAACACTTACTGTCGAATAATATATGATCCTGTCAAGGCTTTTCCTAATATAGGACTGTCCCTTCCGTCGCCAGTATTCGCTAAGTTATATAATTATCCAGAGATGGCACGGGAAAATTTTTCAAGACGACAGAGCTACTACGATATGTTTATAAAGGAATTTGAGATTAATGAAATGCTTGCACTGTCGCAATTTGCTTCAAATTATGCAAGACTTATCATGTCTGGATACTGGAATGGACTCCCAAGTCATCCGATGCATATATTTGAATACTTAGGAGAAGAGAAGCCCATTGATGAATGGGGCGCGGAAGTATATTACAGTATTAAATCAAGACTTGAAGAGATACATCTGATGGCAATATCACATAATGATATCAGGTCCGACAATATACATGTATCTGTAACGGGAAACATCACATTAATAGACTTTGGATTAGCGATTTATCCTTGCAATGAGGAGAATAAGAAGTGCGATATTGAGGCTCTCGACCGGTTATTTTCGGATTATTTCAATGACAGTCAAAATAGCTCCGATAATGATTATTGTACTGAATGGAATGATGCGAATTCCACGCACGAAGCCGTTTTCGATGAACTGATTACAGGGTCCGATGATACCCCAGAAACTACCAAGTTGGATTTCAATCAAAAGACTGATAATGGCATGAAGAGATAATTAAGCATTCTGCTGAAATACTACTATGTTATTTTGTTTATAGGGGTGATAAGTGAAGTATGTAACTTTCTTAGGGCGTTGAATATAATCAGATGGAACTAAATTTGCAACCGCAGTATCATTATTTGTCAAGTATCCTTTTAATACATTTACTCTTCTTTGCTAATATTGTTCAATAGAACTGAACTTATGAGAACATTTAATGGATTTACTCTTCTCTGCCAAGATTGTTGAATTGAATTAACTTACGAGAGAATGATAGTAAATAAAGACGAGTCGATATACTCTGCGGACATAGTCTTCTTAAATAATTTTATGACCAGTTTTATGTTTGGATAGATCCTGTATTATAATAGGAGTTGAGCAAAAAATATACTCTCATCTAGAGAATAATTATGGAACCGTCAATTTTGTATGGTAGCCGAAGTTGTTGCACTACCGAATCGAGTTTGCAGTAATGAATAAAACGAGGATAAAGCCTAGCAAATTTCTTACCACATTGAAGCAAATAATTATAACCCTACACTGCTACGAACGATGACATCAATGTACTTCTCAGGAAATAGCAACAATGATATCTTCCATGATGACCCTGATAATCGATGTATCCAGATATATCCATCGGACAGAGTTTTAATTTCAGACCGTCAGTCCTTTTCAGGTATGATATTAAAAATGGACAAATGATCATAGGTTACTATATCATTAATGATCCGAAAACTTCTGCGCATGGCATCACTTTAAGATTTTCAATAGCAGGCTTTTTCTACCAAACGGAAACTGACGCACTGAAAACGAAAGAGACTAAAGGTCTTATCATAGCCCACAAAACCTATAGGTTGGATCCATTCGACAATGTTCTTCCTAGACATTTAGGTTCTGGTAATATTCATACCTCAAAATTGGCGAAAATAGAAGAAAACACTGAGAAAGTAAACTGTGATGTAATTCAGGGGAATACATATTGTCAAGTAAATTACGATTCCACAAACATTTTTCAGGTTTAGGACTAAGTCTCCCATCAACGGTGTTTGTCAAATTGTACCACTACTCTAAACAATTATGGAAAGAGAACGATTTAGCATGTTTTACTATTCCTGATAAAAAAGGTTATTATGATATGTTCTTCAATGAACTTGAAATTAATAGAAGAATTAAGAATTCTCAGTTCGCATCAACTTTTCCTATACTTATAGTTTCCGGGTATTGGAATGTTCTTCCTATCCAATGCATATCTTTGAATAATTAGGTAAAGGATTATCCACGAAGCATGGGATAGACAAAGTGTAGAAGGTTATTAAATCAAGACTCGACGAAATCCATCAATTGCCAATTTCTCACAATGATGTTACTGAGGCTAATATTCACGTTTCTGAGTCTGGTAAAGTTTCCTTAATTGATTCTGGATTATCGGAATCCAAGCAGTGAAGAGCATAAAAAGAATTACATCTCTTAAACGCATATGTCCGGAGTAATACCCACGATAATCATTCACAAGGCGACCAAACCACACAAAAAGTGAAAATCTGATTAATGACGATTCTTTCACCCATAGTAATTACGAAATTGATGATATAGTTTTAGCGAAGTACATATTGAGATGAGCTTCGGGTCACATACCACAACCATAACCACAACTATAACAATCTAAAATTTTGCTTCAATTTAAGGTCTGAAATTAATTATATTTAATTTTACTCTAGAAGGAACATTGAGTATCAATATGACCTATTAAAAGCACTGTATTCATAATTATTGACAGTTCAACTTGATTCAAGTCCATGATCCTGTTCCGATAAATCAATTCCTGGACATATATTGCCTTTTGTATTATTATTAATATTATTATAACACTTTTCTTATCATACACATATCTCTACACTAACTGATCTACAATAGGGCTGGAATAGGGCATGGCAGGGATTTCGTAATTATATTGCGACCTGATGGCTTTACTCTTCATATAGCCCCTCTGAATCATCTTTATTTTGTAATATACGCCTTTCCGTTTAATACATTCCACAATTGAGAGACGAACCCCATTAGCCATTCGAAGCAACCTCTTATTGTATATCGTTTGTAGTATTGGGTAAATTTATATGTGTAATTACCGAAATGATTTTTCAGATTTTTTGTCACTCAAATGGTTCTTGACCAACGATCCACAAGAATTGATGAGTCAAAGGACGAATTCTTTGTATTCGAATACATATACGATTAAATAAACGTCTTTGAGATTTCAAAAGTGTTGAATAGAAATATTTTTCGTGTTCTTAGAGCTAATATGTCAACAAGTAGAACTCCAATTCCATTTTCAAGGGAATCTTTAGAACAGGTCTTGAAGAGAAGATTCTTCTTCGCACCATCATTCGAAATATACGGCGGTGTTTCGGGGTTGTATGATTATGGTCCTCCAGGATGTGCCTTACAAGCCAACATTATGGATACGTGGAGAAAGCACTTCATCTTAGAAGAAGATATGTTGGAAGTCGACTGTACAATGTTGACTCCGCATGAAGTTTTGAAGACTTCTGGACATGTTGATAAATTCGCAGATTGGATGTGCAGAGATTTAAAGACAGGTGAAATTTTCAGAGCAGACCATTTGGTTGAAGAAGTCTTGGAAGCCAGATTAAAGGGTGACAAGGCAGCAAGAGGTGTGGCTGTAAATGAAGGTGAAGAAGAAGATGCCGATAAAAAGAAGAGAAAGAAGAAGGTTAAGGAAATCAAGAGTATCAAGTTAGACGACGAGGTCGTCAAGGAATACGAAAATGTCTTGGCTCAAATCGATGGTTACTCTGGCTCACAATTAGGTGAGTTAATGACCAAGTACAAGATTAATAACCCGGCTACTGATGGTCCATTAGAACTTCCAATTGAATTCAACTTAATGTTCGAGACTGCCATTGGTCCATCTGGTCAATTGAAGGGATTCTTGAGACCAGAAACGGCTCAAGGTCAATTCTTAAACTTCTCTAAGTTATTAGACTGTAACAATGAAAAGATGCCATTCGCCTCTGCTTCCATTGGTAAGTCTTTCAGAAATGAAATTTCCCCAAGAGCAGGTTTGTTGAGAGTCCGTGAATTCTTAATGGCTGAAATTGAACACTATGTCGACCCTGACAACAAATCTCACAGTAGATTTGATGAAATCAAAGACATAAAGTTGAAGTTTTTACCTAAGGGTGTTCAGGAATCCGGTTCTAATGAATTAACTGAAAAATCTGTTGGCGAAGCTGTTTCCTCTGGTATGATTGATAATGAAACCTTAGGTTATTTCTTAGCCAGAATTTACTTGTTCTTAATCAAGATCGGTGTTGATCCTTCTAGATTAAGATTCAGACAACATATGTCAAATGAAATGGCCCATTATGCTGCTGATTGTTGGGATGCCGAATTACACACTTCTTATGGTTGGATCGAATGTGTGGGATGTGCTGATAGATCTGCTTATGACTTGAGTGTTCATTCTGCTAGAACTAATGAAAAATTAGTTGTAAGACAACCATTACCTGAACCTGTCCTCGTTGAAAAATATGAAGTTAACATTGCTAAAAAGAAGTTCGGTCCAAAATTCAGAAAGGATGCTGGAACTGTTGAAAACTGGTTATTGGCAAGAACCCAATGTGAATTAGAAGACTTATGTAAGGAGTTGAATGAAAATAATAAGATTGTATTCAAGATTGATTCGATTCCAGACAGCATTGAGTTAGATACTGAATTCGTCAAGATTGAGAAGGTAAAGAGAACTGAACATATTCGTGAATTCACCCCTAATGTTATCGAACCATCTTTCGGTATCGGCCGTATTCTTTACTCTATTTTCGAACATCAATTCTGGGCAAGACCAGAAGATAAGGACAGGACTGTCTTATCTCTTCCACCTTTAGTTGCTCCAACTAAGGTTTTATTAGTCCCATTGTCATCTAACGCTGAATTACAGCCTATCGTCAAGAAAATCTCCGCGTTCTTGAGAAAAGAACAAGTTCCATTCAAGGTTGATGACTCGTCTGCTTCTATTGGTAAGAGATATGCTAGAAATGATGAATTAGGTACGCCATTCGGTATTACCATCGACTTCGATTCTGTTAAGGATGAATCTGTTACTTTAAGAGATAGAGATTCTACTAAGCAAGTTAGGGGTTCTCTTGAAGACATTGTCAACGCTATTAAAGATATTGCCTACAATAATATTTCTTGGACTGAGGGTACTTCTAAGCTTACTCCATTTGACTCTCAATCGGATGCCTAATTAAATTTATAGTTTCTATTTAGAATTATATATTCTCCAAGTTGCCATTTAATGTGAATTATTGTAAGAATTGTGATGCAGCTTGAAAATAAAATGTAGTTAACTCTTTTGCAATTATATGTTAAATTATATTTTCTGAAACCTTTATAAATTGGGCGTGTGGTCTAGTGGTATGATTCTCGCTTTGGGCGACGATTTAGGAAACTAAATTGATTACTACAAGCATGCGAGAGGCCCTGGGTTCAATTCCCAGCTCGCCCCATTTGTTTTTTTTTCTTACCTTTCATAACTTCTATTTTGACACTATGTTGTAGAATTTACCTGCTAATCTCTATTAATATAAAGAGTTTTATTTGTCATCTGTTGTGTCTGTTGTAACAACTTTTGAGTCTAATCTTGAAAATTTTATGTTTATTTTATATTTCGACGTAAATTTTAATTATTTCCGCATATGAGCTGCATAATCAAATAAGAAACGCTTACATAGATATCGTGAACATCCATAAGAATCTACTGTTAAGTAGTGCCAATTATAGGCCTTAAGACTGTAAACACAAGAGTAAATTTAGAATAAATGTGAATAGCTAATGTCACGAGAATTTCCTAATTTAAATAAAGCTGCAATGGTTTTTGCATCCACAAATGAAAGCTGACAACAGAAATGCAAATAAATGCAACTCTTCTATACTATACATATTGTTTTCACTCTATTCATTATTGCTAATTAATATGAATTTCAACTTTCTGAATGATAGTACCATAGCTACACCCTCATCTTTTCTAGCTGAGGAATTTTCCGGTTATAATGAGGATCTGTTTGGTACTATAGTTGAATCTTGCTTCAAAACTATAGATACATCACAAACCAAATATCATTCACAAGGACAGGATTTTGCAACTTTTTCATTTGAAGACTTTATTGAGGAAAGGCCACATAACTCTTCTCATCACAACGCATGGCTTAACCATCAACCAAGGTCGTACGATATCAAGGGAATTGATACGTGGGAGAATAGTAACCATAGATTCGAAAGGCCTTACATATTTGCTAAAAAAGTAGAGAGCTCTAAGGAATTATTTCAGAGACATAATAATTTAGTCCCAGAATTTGAGGTAGAAGCATTTACCGCCTCGAATGATCCATTTGGATCTATAATTGCTGGAAGTAATGAATACTGCAATGAAGTTAGTAAGACTAATGACTCTTCTATTAAACGTGAAACTGATGGTTATTTGATTCATGATAGAATATTTGATTCTGAATTAACTAATAGAAGCAAAGACGAAATTTTAACTTCGTCAGCAAATCCCATTGATTTACAAAGTTTCTCACAGCCATGTTTCAAAGTAGAAGAAGTCAACCATAGATATAGCTATACATATGGTGATCAAAACCTAGATATTGGAATGGTATCTCCCAATATCATTAATCCTTCTTTTATTATTAATTCTTTCTCTGCGAGCCCTCAACCCAATGTTAACCCTACATTACCAGAAAATGAATGTATGAATGCTTCAAAAGGCAAGAGATCAAGATTCATTAAGGGAAGTAAGAATAGGCTTTGCACTCAACGGGAATTTAGCTATGATGGTGTTGATGTTGAGAGCTATTTAGAAACGAGTGATAAATTAATTAATGTTGCGAAAAACGAAGAACCATATAACTTTCAAGAAATATTGAGCAATAAACTATTGGAATTAAAAGTTAATAGAGAACACAGTATTTGCTGCATTAAGAGGAATCGGCACGTCAGGACGAATTTTGATTCCATTCTAAATTTCTATAAAAACGTTGGTTATGAATTAAATCCTAACTTTCATATCTCTAAACCATACGAACCACAGTACGTTAGGTTCGAGATAGACGAAACGAATGGTCTACCATTTAATGAAACAAGATGTGGATTATGCCCTTACTGTCCAGATATAAACTTTAAAAACCTAAAAACTTCAACATATTCACAGCATCTTGCCCTAACACATGGCGTATATACCGATAATTACTTGACTCCAAACCCTATATATTATGGGATTTATATTATTAAAAAGACAAATACCCGAAGAAGAACGAAAGCCCATGAGCATGAAAGATGTGGTGTTGTATGTCCATGTTGTTACGCAATTGTTGGAACAGAATGCTCGAAAACAACTGCATCATCTAAGCCATTAAACAATTACATGAGACATTTCAAAGAATACCATAGACAATCGAAGGATAAATTAGATCCAATAAAATTCTTTAATAAAACAGTTCCATTAAATTAAATAGAATTGTGAATCAAGTCCATAGATTTAATATATTTATGTAATGAATGCACTGAGTTAAACAACAAAAACCTCCACCAATTTACCGAAATCCAAACCATCGCCACTAGAGGTATCAAACATTTTGATACCATCTAAATTGAAAATACCTTGAGATATCCCAATAAGATTGAGACTTGTTTCGAAAACACTATTAGGTTCTAAAGGTCCTATTCTAATGTCATTATTTAAGATTATAATCCCACTAGTATTTAATTTCAAGGAATTATATAGCGAAAAGAGTTGAACTTTATTGTAAACTAGTATTTCTTTATTGTCAGAAGTCGAGTTCAACAAATTGGAAGATGACGTATTGTTAGAATTATTAGCATTTTTTTGGCCATAATTTAGATTTATTGGATTTTGGACAACTAATGATAAATTTAATTTATTGGGTGAATTATTAATCGCTTGTAAATTCCAATTCACGATTTCCCCTAGTTTTAAATTAAGCTTTCCCTGAAACGTTAATTTTAATCCAGATAAAGTAGAGCTATTACTAATCGTTAAGTTAACCGTAACTGAAGAAGATGACGAGGAAATCAAGGACTTATTAAGCCTTTTGGTGCCATTAATATTAAAATTTGAAAACCCTGTATTAATTTGATTTCCAGTAGTTATAGATGCTTGCGATGACAAACCTTTTGGTTTGAGTAAATTGTTTTTCCTGACGTTGTTATACTTGAATGGCTGTGAGTTAGGCAGTGACTGGAATTGCGAATAGTTTGTGGTGGTTTTCAACGAATTATTAATTGGGGGTGCAATTATACTGAAATCCAAAAACGGTGACCAGCTGGTCGTTATTACGTTACTTATGTCTTCAAATGTATTTAGATCTGGAATGAATTTTTGAACTTGTAATGTAAGCCTTATGCTAATCGATTTCGAAAACTGATTTATATTTGAAGTGTTATCAAATTGTTTTAAATCTTTTTCTAAAAATTCATTATTTACAAGTCTATAAGATAAACTTACCGAATCAATTAGCTTAAAGTTAATAGGAAATTTATCCTTGAATGAGTTCAAGTCATCTATGGTTCCATTTTTAAAGTCTAACGACAAGTTCAAGATATTGAAATAATAATCGTCCTTCAGCTCACTCAAAAGCTTAATTAATTCTTCTGACAGTTCTATATTCAATGAAGATAATAGGATGTTATTTCTTCCGGCAGGCTTTGTAGATTTTAGTTTAATAACCAAGGATACCGATACCGGTATGATTAAGCTAGCTTTTAAAATAGATGCCAGTTTTTCGTCAATTATTATGGACGGCTGAGTTTCTTGCACATCCGGCTCTATAGTCAATAGATACTTGGACTCATCACTCTTAACCTCGTTGTTCAATTCGGATAAAAGATTTCTAGAATAACTCGGTTTATAGTCGGCCAACTTCTTCTCAGCAATGGGTCCACTGTCATTGATCGGACTATCCTTTGTTTCTTTGTCACTTATAAAACACGAAAACAGTACGTTTGGGTTATTGACCTTCTTTTTCGGATATGTTACAGGTACCTCAAACTTCCATATTATATAGTGTTCATCATTATTCTCACCTTGAAAGATAATGTCATCAGAGCCCAAAGTTGTATTTATAATACTGGAATTAAACTTATCATTTTCGATATCTGCCTTTGATTCAAGTAAATCTGCCAGTACAATTGATATATCGAGGAATACCTTAGATTGTGTATAACTCTGAGTATTTGGAGGTGTCTTTAAAACTATGAACCCTAATATTGATTCATCAAAAAATATAATATCACGTACAGGTAACGAATGCAAGTGGAACAAAAACTTATTAAGATTTTGATACTTCTCTAGTTGATTAGCCTTGGACGGTAGCGTAATCGATAAATTCATTGTTAAAATGATGAAAAGAAAAGTGTAAATCAATGTATATCAATGGAATACTAAAAAGAATATCGCGCGTTTTCTGTTCAATATTGATATCTACTATACCATGACTTTCTACACGATGAAATATATTACAAGATATTGTGTTAGTTTATATACATAAATATTTATATCGAATGAGCAGCTTTATTTATAGTTTGTACCATTGAAGACACATTTCGAAAAGCATATAATTTTAAAAATCACTCCACAAATGCAACCAACAGTGATAACTAGCAATGCCACATCATATATAGTCGCCATAACTCGAAATGCTTCCAAGCCACCAAAATTTTCTGCGATCTGGTGGTTGGATAAAGCCATGGTACCTAATGGGAAAGTCATTGCCCAGTAGGTTCTATTGAATGCAATAAAACCTGTAAATATTCTCGTAAAAGGGTTCAAGCTCAAAGGATTGTAAGCATAATCAAGATTGTAGTATTTGGTGAAAGGTGGTATTTTTGAAATACACGAGACCACAGCGAAATAGGTGCAGAAGTATCCAAATGAGAGGAGGAATAGGCCGACCATAGCCGTAATTATCAACACTACTTGGCCCATGGAAATGCCTAACTCTAAAGTGTTAATCGAAGATTTGTCTATGTCGCCAGGAATATGTAAATAATGAGACGATAATAAGGTGTCGTGGTGTTTAACTAGAAGCTTATAGATGTTATTGCCAAATAAAAGAATGAAATATGAACTCTGGCCGCAAACACCACTGGGCAAAAACGTAGTGAAGATTAGATTCGTGGGAGGTATCTTATATACGAATAGCCTCCAATAATACACTGATATGATTATTGTTGCCATCATAATGCCAATGGACCACATGATATAGCTTATGATCATGGTCATGATTTGTAAGTTAACGGAGGGCAATTCAAGAGCAAATAGATTAGCTGAAGATGCAGATACAATGAGTGTGACCATGGGTAACAACAACGTTGTATGTAAATCTTTCGGGTCCAAGTAATTAGACCTCGATTTCTGTTTAGCAAGAAAGGAACTATAGAATACAACGAACGCCGTGTATAATGCCAATACCACCGATATCCACCATAAGACGAAAATGCCGATGGTCCAGTTCTCCGTCAAGAAGTAAAGAAAGTTCACCAATGTATTGTATCCCATTGACAAGCATCCCATATAAGGTGCAACCTTAGGATCGCTAGTATAGGATGCAAATTTTTTCGGATATCGCCATAGGGATACTACAAAGCAAGTAAGTGTTGCAATCAAAAACATCACGGCAACCCCAAACATAATACACCCACATATCTCGAGCCATCTTGCCGGATATGGAAAATTGTATAAAATGCAACTCGATACTCCTGGACCCATAACAGTCACAAATAAACCGGGAGTGAATCCTTTGATCAATGTCTGGTCAATTGCAATTCCAAAACGTTTAAGTATATTCAGGTTCGATCCTTTTTTGGATATCAGCAAACCTTGCTTTCGTTTAAAATCTTTTTCTGTGCTTTCTGATGTGTTAAAAGACATCATGATTGAGGTCGCTTAAGCAAACGGGAAAACTTCACTGATGTAAGGGTGCTAGGTAAGATGATTCTGTTCTATTTTACGTTATTGGCATTCTAGAATAAGTATAAGTCTTTTATTGAAATCAATTAATATTGAACGTAATCATGATAAATGACGGAATGCTATATAAGATGCGAGTTCCACGGATATTACAACAAGGTGTATACAGAAAAACAGTTACTACTCCAACTCTATTTCAATACCTTGTGCTATATACAAACTTGTATGCATACATCTGCGAATGCCTATTGTCGTCACAAGATATGGTGTGATAATCTTTGGAGTCAAACTCTGCACGGAGTTAAATGGATACTATACACTCTCTGCTTACCCATAGATAAGGTCCTATTCGAGAACTTAGTAAGACCGATTCATCGATAATTTATTTGTAGCATGTAGTATTATGTACTTGATAGGTTGGATCGTTTGTAAAATCAGTTAGAACCAAATCTTGATATCAAAATTAAAAGTCGTTGAGCTAAAATTGTAATCATATTTTGCAGCATTTACACGGTAGCATATTAGAATAAATCTCAAATGGCTCCAGACCAAGAATATACGGCTGTAATTGACAGCCCTCTATGTAATACATATTAATCTAATTTGAAGTGAATAAGCTAGAGGATAGACTATAATGGCAGAACCTTACATTAGATTAATTATTATATTATATTAATTATATGTAAATAAATAGAAAATTAAATTTTTTCATAATTGGTGTTGTAAATGGCATATTTTGCAAAATATACGATCTTATAAACTACTCCACATATACAACCAATAGTGACAATTAGCAACGCCACTGCATAAATAGTAGCTATTACTCTAAATGCTTTCAAGCCACCAAATGTCTTCGATAATTCGTTACAACATATAGCCATAGTGCCAAATGGGAAAGTCATTGCCCAGTACGATTTATTGAATGAAATCAAACCTGTAAACATCCTTTTAAAAGGGTTCAAGTTCGATGGGTTGTAAGCATAATCAAGATTATAGTTCTTGGTGAAAGGGCATATTTTTGAAATGCTCGAGACGATAGCGATGTAAGTACTGAAATATCCGAATGAGATAAGAGCTAAACTCATCATCGCTGTCGCTATTAAAACCACTTACCCCACCGAAATCCCTACTCCTAACGTGTCCACTGATGAGAGGTCAAGTTCCACTGGGAAATGCAAATAATGAGACGAAAAAATACTATCGTTATGCTTTTATCATTAAGTCATATACGTTATTACCAAATAAATTAATACAGAAAGCACCTTGGCCAACAGCACCAGGGGTAAAAAACTAATAAAGACAAAGTTAGTACCAGGTATTTTGTGAATGAATAATTTCCAATAATATATGGACAAGATTATGAATGTTAAAATAATACCGTTGGACCACATGATATAACTTACGATCATCGTAATAACCTGAAGATTAAGAGAAGGCAAATCTGCAACCAATAAATTGGCTGTTGATGCGGAAACAGTGAAGGCGACAATAGGCATAAGTAAAGCTGCATGGATGTCTTTCGGATTCAAATAATTGGAACTTGACTTTTTTTTGGCAAGAAATGCACTATAGAATACAATACACCCTGTGTATAATGCCACCACCACTGATATCCACCATAATACCCATATCGCCATGATCCACTTCTGCCCTGTCAAGTAATAAAGAAAATTTATTAGAGTGTTGAATCCCATGGGCAAGCCTCCCATAAAAGGTGCATTGGTGGGATCACTGTTATAGGCTGCAAAATTTTTTGGATATCGCAATGTGGACGCAACGAAGCATACAATTGTCACAATCAAAAATGCCACCCCAATTCCAAACATAATACACCCACATATCTCGAGCCATCGTGATGCATATGGAACTTGTACAAAATACAGTTCGAAACCCCAGTTCCCATCACGGTCCCAAAATACGCCGGCGGAAACCGTTTGATTAATTTTTGGTCTACCGCGAAGCTCACACGTCTAGTTATATTATCATTCGATTCTCGTTCGTATACTACTAGATCCTCCTCTCTTTCAGAGTTCTTGTTAGTCTGAGATGTTGCATTCGAAGACAACATAATGCAGGAGTCGGTCAAGCGGAATGCAATATTTGTTGCTAAATGTTTAGTGCAGTGGGTTTTTTCTATAGCAGATTACACTATTTTATAAATTTGATATACATATAAATTTGCATCAGTTGTATTAGTCATATAAACCTATTGTTTAATTCTATCAAGGTCTTATGTCATTAAAATCAAGAAGGTCCAGGTTGCGCATGTCCGCGACTATCATTTCCGCGGTTATCAATTCGATACAACCTTGAGTTTAGCATTGAAGAGATGGGGAATATTCTCTATGTAACAATGTATCAGTTAATTATGAGGCTCTCTTGGATATATTGTAAATCGGTGAATAATAACATTATTGATAAACAATAATACATAATTGAGTATTCTTATTTAAAATTAGACTGTATTAATTATTATTTTAGATTGATTATTATATTATATTAGATTAGATATATGCAAATAAATAGGTTATTAGATTTTTTCATAGCATGTACCATATAGGGTATATTTTGCAAAACATACAATTTTATAAATTACCCCACAGATACAGCCAATAGTGATAATTAGCAAGGCCACAGCATATATAGTGGCCATAACTCGAAATGCTCGCAAGCCACCAAAGGACTTGGATAACTCGTTATTTGATAAAACCATAGTGCCTAGAGGGAAAGTCATTGCCCAATATGTTCTGTTGAATGCAATAAAACCTGTAAGCAGTTTTTTGATAGGGTTCAGGCTTGTTGGGTTATAAGCACAATCAACGTTATAGTTTTTGGTGAATGGCAGCGTTTTTGAAATACATGAGATGACTGCGATATAAGTGCTGAAATATCCAAACGAGATGAGAAACAAACACACCATCGCCGTAACGATCAACACTACTTGGCCCACCGAAATACCTACTCCTAATGTGGCAACGGAAGAAAGGTCGAGGTCCTTTGGAAAATGCAAATAATGAGATGATAAAAGGGTGTCGTGATGTTTGACAATTAACGTATACACGTTATTGCCAAACAATATAATGCAGAATGCACCTTGGCCTAGGACACCGATGGGCAAAAAACTTGTGAACACAATATTTGTGGGAGGTATCTTATATACAAACAATTTCCAATAGTATACGGAAATGATAATGACTGCTAAGGAGATGGCGTTGGACCACAAGATATAGCTCACGATCATTGTGGTGACCTGCAAGTCGACCGACGGCAAGTCTAGGGCAAATGCGTTACCTGACAGGGCCGCGACTGTGAGAGTGACGATTGGCAACAACAAAGTAGCATGCAATTCCTTTGGATCCAAGTAGTTAGCACCCGATTTACGTTTGGCGAGAAACGCAGTGTAGAACACCACGCACGCCGTATACAATGATAGAACCACCGAGATCCACCACAAGACCAAGATTCCAATGATCCATCCCGTACCCGTAATGTAGTAGAGAAAATTCACCAATGTGTTGTAACCCATGGGCAAACATCCCATATATGGGGCAATGGCCGGATCGTTGTGGTATGCCTTGAACTTCTGCGGATACCGCAACATGGACGCCACGAAGCATACTAGCGCCAGAAACAAAAAAATGACCCCGATACCAAACATTATGTACCCGCAAATCTCAAGCCATCTCGCAGGATATGGGAATCTGTACAAGATGCCACTAGACACTCCGGTGCCCATGACAGTGACAAAATATGCGGGAGTGAAACCCTTGATTAATTTCTGTTCGATGACATGTCCAAGACGTCTAATAGCGCTCGTATCTGTCCTTTCGCCACATCCTGTCAACTGTGGCTCCAACTTTAAAGCAGTGTTCGAATTGACCGTTGAATTCGATGACATCAAACCTTCGATTTATAATCCAGATAAACGACTTTTTTTTTCTTTCGTATAACGTACGTAAGCTTCTATTATAATATGTATTATAATATGTATCAATAGGTTTAATGTGTCTAGTAAGTATCGTTAGGGTATGATTCTTACAGTAGGAGGATGACTCTAAAACACTTCTATATTTGGATTATGTAATCACCCGGTTAATTTCTATGATGTAGATGGACACTGGTTAAGATTAGGTTTAGATTGGTCCTATTATGGGTTCCTTAATAACGGGAAATGTGGCCTTAATATACGTCTGCAGTTGTATGATGGCAACGCAAATTGTGACGGCTGCACGGCTCAAGGGGCGTTTTCCATGACTTTGGAGCTATTTTGCCGAAACGATTACCTCTACTTATTCTGCACACTTGCTGAAACCAGTGCGATTGCCGTACACGTATTCTCAACATGTTACGTATATTGTTTGACTACAAAACTAACACAAACAGAAAATAGTATATGAAACGATGAATGAATATCCAAACAGTATCAGTTCTACATGCTCCTATCAGTTCTACATGTTCTCTACTATTTCCTACTTCACCTTTTGTTAGTTCGCATTTCTCTCTACTAGCTCCTAACTATAATTTTATCCACTTGCTCTCTATTACTCTGTAATACCAAATGCGGTAAGTGCCGTCAGGCCAATCGGCCGCATTAGTTTTGGGCTCAAAGCCCGCCCATCGCCCGCCTATCGGACGGCCGCAAAGCGGGCGATGACGTGTTAACTTAATAGCGTGCACATACCAAACTAACCCAATACAGTAATTATCTGCTCAATTTGTGACCACGGGGCCGCTCGTAGGCCCGCCGACGGTTTAAGTTTGAGAAATCGGTACTAATTATATAAAGAAGGGATTTTCCTTCTGTACGAGGGGAAAACTTATTGAATATCAAACAAATACCTGGACTTATATAATTAAATTTACATTGTACTCTTTCATATTATAACACAAGGTAGTCTAACGGAATATACATATACACAACTAATATGTTGGTCGCTAATCAATTAGGACACAAGGTATCAGGAGCGGGGGGTTCCACTTGTGGAAGTCATATGAAGCCTCTAAATAGAGATTACAGAAAGGAAGAAGAAAAGGAAGAAAAGGGTGATAAAAAGGTTGAGAGGAATAATGATAGGAAACAGGATGCGGAAGATGATGAGGTGCCCGATAATAAGCTTGGGGAGTTGATACGCAAATTGAAAGGTATCTTATCCGGAAAGGGCCTCGCGTCGGAGGACGTGGACATCGAGGGAGTGAAACAGGTGATGGAGGAGTACGAGTCGAACGAGGAGGAATGGGGGAAGTATGCGTTACATGACCAGTCGAGACCGTACACTAGAAATGGTGTGGTGGATATCAACGGGAACGCCAACTTGCTTATCTTGGTTTGGAGTCCCACGAGATCTAGTGCCATTCACGACCATGCCAATGCCCATTGCTGCATGAAGATCTTGAAAGGATCGTTACAAGAGTCACTCTATGACGTGCCCACGGAAGAGGGCCATCATTTGGACCCTAAGAAAGAGACAATGATGCACAGGGACGAGGTGGGCTACATCTCGGACGCTATAGGGCTTCACAAGATTTCCAACCCGCTTCCAGACCAGTATTCGGTGTCATTACACTTGTATACGCCTCCATACGCGTCGATGTACGGGTGCTCGATGTACGAGGCTAACAACGGCAGGAAGCACCATGTGGACATGAGTAAGTACTACAGCTGGCAGGGCAAGTTGGTCAATAGCAAGAACAGCTCTTCGTGCTAATTCCTCTTTTTTGCATTCCTTTATTTATTACTGCGCTGGCGTTGATTGTCGGTTGCTATTTATATAGTTATATTATGGTTTCATTTAATAAATATACGACAAGTTATACATTCTATTCAATATGCCTGTCTTCTATTCAGCCTTGGCCTTTGTCCCTGCCTTGTTCCAGTCATATGGGGTTTCAACCTCCAAGTCGTTCCACTTTGGATGTCTCATTCTCCACCAATACGACAACTGGGAGTAGGGATATGTGGTGGAGTTTATTCCTCCCTCTGAGTACCACGAAGCACACCCACCGAACTTAGTTCCAAACACGGATCTGGCCAATTCCTTTTGCGTGGTATGGAACCAGTTATAGTAACTCAGGGGTTTGATGCAAATAGACTTGCATGCCCCAGATAAGATCTTTGGTGCCACTTTCGAAAAATATTTACATCCATTTTCAATCGCCAAGACCACGGAAGAGTGGCCGGTGGCAGAATTTGGACCTCCAATCATAAACAAGTTAGGGCAGTCTCTGATGAGAATGGTTTCATAAGCAGAAGGTCCTTCTTCTTTCCAGACTTTCGAAACATCAGTCCCATTACGACCCTTGATTTTGTAATTACCGAAACTTTGAAGCACGTCGTACCCTGTGCAAGCAACAATTATATCAGCTTCAAGAACATCACCATTTTTCATGACCACCGAATGCTCATCGACATGATCGATCGATTCGTTTGTAATATCCATTCTAGGATCATGTAATGATGGCAAGTACGAATAATCAAAAATAAGACGCTTGCATCCAATCTTGTAATCAGGAATGACCATAGATTGAAACTCCTTAGGGCATGCCGATTTCATATAAAATAATGAGTATTGGGTATTGACCCAACGAACGAATCTTGCCAAAATACCGTTACCCTTGTACAATGGGAATCTTGCCTCTGCAAAGGCTGCAATTAACCAACGAACCAAGACTATTCCTATTCTTGAAAAGGATAAGAGTCTATACGTTAAATGAACGATTTTTGGAATAGGTGGCATAATGTAGTGCTTTGATCTCACAACTTGCACAATACTCTTAGGTTCATAGTCCTTTAATAAAGCTGGAACAAGCTGATTTGCAGAACACCCATTACCAACAACGACAACTTTCTTGTCCTTGAAGGAAACATTGTGATCCCATAAGGCTGAATGGAGGTATTCACCCTTGAAGTTGCCAATACCTGGAGAAAGCAATTGTTGTGGAGTCACTAATCCACCTTGACAGCAAAGAAGCACTCTCGAGGTGTGTTTGATACGTTGCCCATTGCTAATATTTCTACCTGTCAACGTCCATGTACCTTGGTCGTCATTGTAGTCAATGGCGGTGATAATAGTCTTAAACTTAGCATATTTGTATAAGTCGTACTTCTTACACACGGTCAAAATATATTCTTCCATCTCATATTGCGGAGGCTGTAATCTACTCCAATTACTGTTCAACTCGTTGAAAAAAGAATACCATACAGCAGGTATATCGGATGCACATCCAGGATAAGTGTTGGCGTACCATGTCCCCCCGTAATTATCATGCTTGTCAAATACAACAAAGTCAGCCTCATTCAAATTCTTCAAGCATGTCAATGCAGAGGCTATACCTGAGAAACCAGCACCCAATATAGCAACATTTGAAGTTGAGTGGACTTCCGGTAATTTATCATCTTTGGGAGTCTTCGCGTATGGTCCTAGCACAGCTTGAGCATCATCGTGATTGATCCTAAACTTATAAGGTTCCTCGTGTGATTGTTTAGTAAGTTCAACTACTGACATTTTCTTTGCTTATTTATCTTCATAGTAGGAAGTTTTGATGAAATGTTCTTACTTATATATCTATAGGTCTCCGCAATTATTTAATATAGAATTGCATAGGCTGTTAGACATATTGTTCTATTTCCGAAGGTGCATATCCTGTCCGAATCGCACATATTGGGTAAAATCGAACCTCTTGATATCGAAATATTTCTTGCAATACTTAGCATATGATTTTTTGACCCTTCAAGGTTCACAATAGCAGAAACATGATGTATATTAGGCAATGTTCTACGTCATAAAATCGATTCCTAGTTTTCAGGGGTCCTGTCTTGGCTTGGTAATATTTGTTGGACGGACTTAGTCTTTCTAGAACATAGGCCTATATACAGGCATATTTCGAGGAACAATGTAGCGTAGGCACTAGGCGGAGAAAACAGGTCTTTTGTCTAAAACGGTTACTTCATAGTAAACTTTCTAACATGCATGTGCATCATGATATACAGTAGAGTTTACCTTTTGACTGCTAAGATTCAAAGTCCGCTCACGGAGTAAACTAGAGAAAGATAGATTGTGGGCACTAAGAGACAATTGGAACCGTTTATTAACAACTATGCTGTCTTATAGGAAGCAACATTATCTTCTAGCATCATCTCTTCGTCATATGTATCATCCCCCTCATCATCTATAAATAATTTAATGGCGAAGACTATTAAGGTGGAGGCACATGCTATGCCAAATACCTTATCAAACCAGTCGTCTATAAACTTGACTTCTTTCGCAGAAGTGAGCAATGCATTTGAGGCTGAACTTCCAGTTAAGGAAAGAATTTTTGAAATTTGGTTAGATAAATTTGTTGGCAAGTTTGTCCTAATTAGGATCGCCGTGGAAATAACATAGATACCTAATAATTCTGTGATGATCAAGTTCTTCAACCAGTCCTTTGTCGTGGGAGAAATTTTGGTGATGGAGGGAAAAAGCTTGGTGAAAGACTGGAACGTTTTCAACACATTCGAGAACGAGCAAACAAATAAACTTCCAGACAATATTAAGCTTATCTGGTTAACCAATTGGGTTTCTTGCATCGAGATTTGCGTCGTAGAGAGAATCAATTTAGAAATTGTTATGGCTAATGCATCGGTGTTGGAAGCCCCATCCTCACCGTAATCGTTTATTATGCCCGACTCATCTTGATTTGGCTTTCTCAAAAATAGTAGTACCTGTTTAATAATGAAAACGTTAATTATCCGATACACACAGTATATGGCAAATGCAACATTAAATATACTCATTGCTTTAACCCATACTTTATTCTTATTTTGAAGGTGATCTCTGTCGTGTGAAAACTTGAAAAGAGCTTTAACTAGATCATTATAAATGTGCTGTCTCAATGATATCATAGAATCGATCTCATTTCGTAACTCTTTCTCTTCCAGCTTTTCTTTGTCTAGTGAGAGACTCGATAAGCTTGCAAATGACTGGACCTTATGGAGTAATCCTCCTAGCTTATTCTTTTTAGGAGATCCACCAAGATATCCTATTTTGTGACTGTTGTACAGAAGGAAGTTGTCTGACGAAGCATTTGGTACATTGTAAACCGTACCACTATTCGCAACTTGCAAATTGTTCAATTCGCTCTTTCTCTTGTTAATCAAAGAACTGGTGTGGCTATAGGACTGGATTAAGTTATTTAAATCTGCCTCATTCACTTCCACTTTACGGGTAATGTTAAGGCCATCGCTTCTGAAATATGAAAGAATCCGCCTTATTGAAAATACTTTAAACGGCGTGGACGTGGATCCCACACCCGATAGTATAGCCATAGTTGTAATTCCAGCAATTGAAATTTCATTGATTTTCCGTTCGATCAACGTCTTCGTGCCGAAACTAGTCTTATCGGGGGTGAATGCTTGCGAAAGATCTCCACACTTGTGAAGGATAAAGAACCACCCTACATACAACGCAGCAGTGTATGCTCGCTTCAAGTTGCTCTGTGAAATAGGTATGAGCTCCTCATTGAGAAACAAGCTTATCATCACGAACGGCTGGATGCATGTCAAGAGAAATACCAACGAGTTGATAATAAATGTAAAGCAAATCAACCTTGCACGCTCGTCAAATAGATCAATAAGCTCACACATCATAAGAATGATCAATTCCACACTAAAAGAAAACGTAAGGCTAAATACAACCCCAATAATTCGATTCAATGTATTATTATTCTCCCCATACATATTGCGTTTATTAACATTAGTGTATTCATCATCTTCAATTCCTTCAACATTAACTTCGACCAATCCCGTGCCATACTTCTCGTTGATATTTCGCCTTATATATTCGTTGATTTGACCCTTCGGTATGTGATTTCGTACTGAATATGTCTGTACTATGTTCTGACGAAATATGAATGTATATGCCCATGTTAATATGAATATAAACGTCACGATAAACGGAATACAACCAAAAAAGGAAGATATGAAACTATACATGGTGCATGTACAATAATTCCATAAAGATCTACCTGTATTCTTCGATTAATAGGATAGTAGAAGCCATAGTAGTTTATCCATATTGATAGTAGATCACGTGGATCACGGTGAAAAATGAGTTTGAGTTTCACACGCCTTTAATTTTCACAAAGACGTACGGTAATAAATTTTCAGCGTCATATACTGGGTGATTAAAAGAAGTATTTGACTTAAAGGGGATCTGTAATAGTACCTATTGATAGAATAACAGAGTAAAATATAATACAAGATGCCTATAATGCGAATGAGAGCTGAAAAAAGGATGAGAAAGCATCTTTTAGATCATCTCAAGACCCGTAAAATTTTAGGAGCTAGAATAGCCAAAGGAGAAAAGACGGAACACGACTTGATTAACTTAAATATGGCACCACAGGTGTTCATGTTCAAGAATTTGTTTTCGGGACAAATTTTGTACTCGCAGGTGCCAGCATTCCACCAAGATCAAATTGACGAACAATTCACCAGACCAAACTGGGAAAACAGAAAACCCAGCAGAAGAAATGATTTATGGAGGATTATGTGTGTTGCCAGCTTTGAGAACTACGAATACGCCATTGCTGCGTACAAGGGATTGGTTCAATTAAGACAAGTGAGGGACGTGGTGCAGAAGAAGGAAGCCAAGGCATTGAGAAAAAAGAACGACGAGGGGAATGTGTGGTTTTCCGGCCAATATAGACCAACATACTCGCAGGAAGCAGTGGCCGACTTAGCGCATGTTATAGACGAGTTTGAATTGGAAGGCACCACTGTGATGTGGGAGAGTTTATGGAGAAAAGGTGAAGATACTCACTGGAGATCTGACTTGGTTGAACATGACAGCTTACCACCATTCAACCCAAGAGACCAAACCATATTGTTGGACGAATTGAGGGCTAAAGCCGTCGAAGAATTTGCCAATTTAAGACAACAAGAACAACAATCCCAACAACAATCCCAATCTGAATTAGAATCACAAACTGCTTAATAAATACATAATTTTAATCCTTAAAATGTACATAGTCATAACACCACATCTCAAAAGTATTTATACCCTGTTTACTGTAGCAATAGAAGATTCCATGAAGCCATCTATAGGGCCAGTAAAACCGTAAGTTTGTTACCAGATTAGTACTTAAGCCGACAAGGGTTTTGTGTCACTTTGAACGGGCCCGCTCACTAAGCAAAAAAAAAATAGCTCCGTCCAGCTATATTTCAGACGGTAATAAGTGAACTTATTGATTAAACAAAAGTAAAGGAAGCTCATATTAGACCGGTCGTCTTGATTATTCGGATAGAGAAAGTGAAATAATATTATAAATTCGAAAAAACTAGGCTATTTATACTAGTTTATTTGCTATGGACTTCTACTACCGAAAACTGATGGGAAATGGAACTGTTGCCAGTAAATTCAAATTAAATGGGAATCATAGTGACAGCGGTACCGTCATTCAACTGAATCAGTCGAATGTACGTGGACCGGTTGAAAAAGAAGCAGTAGAGGAGGCTGAACCAGTGGGAGAAACCGCTGATAGTACTGATTCGGCCAATATGAAGGCGGTGGAATTTCCCGAAACCCACCATCCTTACAACTGTGACCGATGCTATAAGTTGAAAAAGAAGTGTCTGAGAGTGTATCCTGAGTGTGAAAATTGTACCAAAGCAGGTGCTAGTTGTGCATACATCGACAGAAGTAACAAGAGACGGAAGAAGGCCAGCCACAAAGTATATGACGACAGAGTGAATTTTGAGAGCGAGTCGCCCACATTCCATATAGTGAATGAGAAGAGCAATAGTTCTTCGAAAAGTAAGGGGAAGAATGATAATCTGGTGGTGGTACACAAGCTTGTTTCGGTGTCGTCGTTATTATCAGGCGAAGCAGCTAGTAGGGCCTCAGAGCAATCCAAGGAGATACAGACAAGACATAAGAAACCAATAGTGCATCCAGGAAACAGCAGGAATGTGGCCAAAGAGCAAACGATTTCCGAAAAATTGTCATTAAAGTCATTAAACAAGCAACAAATGAAGACTAACTTGAGGGAAGAATTTATAACGATGAAAGCCATCAAGAACGAATTAGCATTGTACTTTGTATTAAATTACTTTCATAATTATGGGACTAAGTACCCATTCGTGAACAAGGAGAAATTCATGGAAGGATTCAAGAAAATTAACTTTGAGCAAGAAATGATTATAAACTTGGACGTATACTTACTCATGAGCATTGGATGTATAATCTACGATTATAACAATGGCACGAGCTTTTTCGGCGAATACTTTAATGAAAAGGCCATAGAATCTATAATTGACATTTTAAATTTCGGAGCGAATAATGACGAAGGAGAAGACTTTGCCAATTTGGCATTATTGATGCTATTAACAATTTATGCCATTAAAATATTCAACCTGGACTTATGCTGGACATTGACAGGCATTATCAGCCGGATGATAATCGAGTTGGACCTTTATAAGCCCAAAGCCAAGGATGAGAACCAACAAAAACGTACTTTCTGGTCCATTTTCAACCTCGACTGCGAATTGAATATTTTATTGCATAAACCAACCCAATTACCCAACCCTGCCTATATAAAGCTCGAAATGCCGTTGTCCACAAGCTTCGCAGACGACGAATCGGGGGACAGCATCATTAAAAACATACATTTACACAGGTTACAGCATAGAATATTAGACTTGAAGCTAAGAGAGAGTGACGACGCGGCCGCCGTCAAACAGTTGAGTCAGGACCTCGAGAGCTGGAGGGTGTCCACGAGTCTGGTGATCCACAATACGTATTCGAACGACACGAATTTCCAGGACTACATTTCGTTGGTGAACCTCAATTATTACTACCTTTTGATAGAATTGGACCAACTCTCCGCCAGCGAATCGTTCCAGTTCACCTTGCAGTTCTTGTCCAACTCGTTCACCTTGTTGATATCGGAACCCACGTCCACTTCAAAGCCCCAGGTACTGTTGTCGGTCAACTCGTTGTTCTGGTACACAAAGCTCTTCAATGTCATCAAATACAACATCTCGTCGTTGCACGAGCTTTTGTCGCTCATCTGCAACAATCGCATCAACGAGAACCACTCGCCGAGCGACCTCACCCTCAAATTGGCCGATTTCAACTCCAATTTGCAGCTCATGCTCAATCTCCTCAAATACTTGTCGCAGAACAGGCTCAAGCTGCATCCGCTCGTCGACAAGGTCAACACATGCATCGAATCCCTCGCCAGCTTAAACCTAAAATTATTGCATTTCAATGTGTTCTCGTGTCCGCACGAAGACAAGCTGTCATTACTCGACGAAGTAGGTGTCATACAATCTACATTGCAATCGTCTATATAATTTCAACGTATTTTTACATCCTCACATATAATACATTCCTACACGTATAGCCCAACTCACATATCCTAACCCACATATCCTAACTTACATATAACTAACTCACATTCTTCACATATAGCCTTGCCCAACTTCAAATAGCCTTTCCCAACTTCAAATAGCCTTGCACACCCCCCATAGTCCACTTCCACACGACTACCCCAGCATACCCTTCTCCAGACTAACGACATGCGACATCGCGGAAGAAGCCTTCGCGATCTGCTCGTTTCGGAACTTCCAACAAATTGACAAATGAAAAAAATTTGATTGGCTATATGGGAAAAATAATACACCCGGGCACCGGGAAAGCATTTAAGTAGGTAAACTGAAAAATATTCAATTCTGGTTATTCAAACTTAAAAGGATAGGTTTATATATTCAAAAGCAAAAGAAAAGATATCATCTTTATCCAGAATGCTTAGCTTACGCCGTTCAGCTTTAGCTGCTACTAAGTTTTCAAATAATAAACGTTTTTTCACATCTTCTTGTGTCAAGTTACAAACCATTGGGGACAACATTAAAGGTAATGATCTCAACACTGCTAAGTATATGGGAAAGCAATACCATGTTATTGACCACGAATACGACTGTGTCGTTGTTGGTGCTGGTGGTGCAGGGTTAAGAGCTGCATTTGGGTTAGCCGAGGCCGGGTTCAAGACAGCCTGTATTTCGAAATTGTTTCCTACCAGATCCCACACTGTGGCAGCACAAGGTGGTATTAACGCAGCATTAGGTAACATGCACAAGGATGACTGGCACTGGCACATGTACGATACTGTGAAGGGTTCAGATTGGTTGGGAGATCAAGATGCCATTCATTATATGACCAGAGAAGCCCCAGACTCGATTTACGAATTGGAAAACTACGGTGTGCCATTTTCGAGAAACGAGGAAGGTAGAATTTACCAAAGAGCGTTTGGTGGTCAATCGAAGGAATTTGGTAAGGGGGGACAAGCTTACAGAACTTGTGCTGTTGCCGATAGAACTGGACATGCATTATTGCACTCTTTATACGGTCAAGCTTTAAGACACAACACTCATTTCTTTATTGAATTCATGGCCATGGATTTGTTGATGCAAGATGGTGAATGTGTAGGTGTGATGGCTTATAACCAAGAAGATGGTACTTTACACAGATTTAGATCTCACAAGACCATTATGGCTACCGGTGGATACGGGAGAGCTTACTTCTCGTGTACTTCTGCTCACACCTGTACTGGTGATGGTTACGCCATGGTTTCCAGAGCTGGTTTACCATTAGAAGATATGGAATTCATTCAATTCCATCCATCCGGTATTTACGGTTCCGGTTGTTTGATTACTGAAGGTGCTAGAGGTGAAGGTGGTTTCTTAGTCAACTCTGAAGGTGAAAGATTTATGGAACGTTACGCGCCAACCGCTAAGGATTTAGCTTGTAGAGATGTTGTTTCGCGTGCCATCACTATGGAAATTAACGAAGGTAGAGGTGTTGGTCCAGAAAAGGATCACATGTACTTGCAATTATCCCACTTACCACCATCTGTCTTGAAGGAAAGATTACCAGGTATTTCTGAAACTGCTCACATTTTCGCTGGTGTCGATGTCACCAAGGAACCAATTCCAATTTTACCAACCGTCCATTACAATATGGGTGGTATTCCAACTAAGTACAACGGTGAAGTCTTAACCAAGGGTCCAAACGGTGAAGATAAGGTCGTTCCAGGTTTACTAGCCTGTGGTGAAGTTGCTTGTGCTTCTGTCCACGGTGCTAACAGATTAGGTGCCAACTCCTTATTAGATTTGGTTGTCTTCGGTAGAGCTGTTTCTCACACCATCAGAGACTCTTTGACTCCAGGTACTCCATTGTCTCCATTAGCTGCTGATAGCGGTAAGGAATCGATTGAAAACTTGGACAAGTTAAGAAACGCTAACGGTTCCAAATCTACTGCTCAAATTAGATTGGAAATGCAAAAGACTATGCAAAAGGGTTGTGCTGTTTTCAGAACTCAAGAAACCTTGGAAGAATGTGTTGAAAATATCGGTCAAGTCGATAAGACTTTCTCCGATGTTGGCACCACCGATAGATCCATGATTTGGAACTCCGACTTGGTTGAAACCTTGGAATTACAAAACTTGTTAACCTGTGCCACCCAAACAGCCGCCTCTGCTGCTGCCAGAAAGGAATCTAGAGGTGCCCATGCCAGAGAAGATTACCCAGACAGAGACGATGTTAACTGGTGGAAGCACACTTTGTCCTACCAAACTAACTTCGGTGATGATGTCAAATTAGACTACAGAGATGTCATCCAAACTACTTTAGACGAAAGCGAATGTAAGCCTGTTCCACCAACTGTCCGTGCTTACTAGGTTAACCATTGACTCATTTTGGAATTGAATGTTCAATTCACTAACAACTACTTTTCTTTAATATTTTATTTTGGCGAAGACTAAGCTATGTCGAAAAATTACACCCTGTTATTTAGCAACTATTTATTCATCTACCTCTTTATATTATCAATATAAACGACTATTGAATTAGTTTCCTAGTAATTAGTAGAAGCTTCCATACTATGTATATGATCGTGTGATACACAAAAACCACCTTTCAATTTGTATGAGGGCAAATACAGATCGTTGCCACTATTGATAGTATAACATTATCCCCTTAGTAACAGAATTATACATTCAAAAACATATACAAGATGCCCCCAAAAGCCGATTGGGATAAATATGTAGCGCCAAATGAAGATGACGAATCTCAGGATAAAGTTCAGCCTTTGAGTGAAGGAGATATTCAGGTGTTGAAAACATACGGTGCAGCGCCATATGCATCGTCATTGAAGGAAATCGAAAAGGATTTGAAGACAATCGAAGAAAGAATAAAAGAAAACATTGGTATTAAAGAAAGTGATACTGGATTGGCCGCTCCACATTTGTGGGATGTTATGGGAGATAAGCAAAGGATGTCGGAAGAACAGCCATTGCAAGTTGCAAGATGTACCAAGATAATTGAAGCCACCAATCCTAATCCGCAAGCGGGATTGCTTCAAAATGCTGATAATAAGTCTAAATATGTTATTAATATAAAGCAGATTGCCAAATTTGTGGTTGGATTGGGTGAAAGGGTTTCTCCTACGGATATAGAAGAAGGTATGAGAGTTGGTGTGGATAGACAGAAGTACGAGATTCAGTTGCCATTACCGCCCAGAATCGATCCATCGGTGACCATGATGACTGTGGAAGAGAAGCCAGATGTGACATACAGCGATGTAGGAGGGTGCAAAGATCAAATTGAAAAATTAAGGGAAGTTGTCGAGTTGCCATTATTGTCACCGGAAAGATTTGTCAAATTAGGAATTGATCCACCAAAAGGTATATTGTTATATGGACCTCCGGGAACAGGTAAGACCTTGTGTGCCAGGGCAGTAGCCAACAGAACCGATGCCACGTTTATTAGAGTTATAGGTTCGGAATTAGTTCAAAAATATGTTGGTGAGGGTGCTAGAATGGTCAGAGAATTATTTGAGATGGCACGTACTAAAAAAGCATGTATCGTATTCTTTGATGAGATTGATGCCATTGGAGGTGCCAGATTCGATGACGGAGCTGGTGGTGATAACGAAGTTCAAAGAACCATGTTGGAATTGATCTCACAATTAGATGGTTTCGATCCAAGAGGTAACATTAAAGTTATGTTTGCCACGAATAGGCCTAATACTTTGGATCCTGCATTATTAAGACCTGGTAGAATTGACCGTAAGGTTGAGTTCTCCTTGCCTGACTTGGAAGGTCGTGCCAATATTTTCAGAATTCATTCGAAAACTATGAGTTGTGAGAAAGATATAAGATGGGAATTAATTTCTAGATTGTGTCCAAATGCAACTGGTGCAGAATTAAGGTCTGTTTGTACGGAAGCAGGTATGTTCGCTATTAGAGCTAGAAGAAAGGTTGCTAATGAGAAGGACTTCTTAAAATCTGTTGAGAAGGTTATCAAGGGTAATATGAAGTTCAGTTCGACCAGTCAATATATGCAATATAACTAGATTAATTATTTACATTATTTACACTAATAAATTTCTATTAAAGATTTCCGTGATATCTTAAACGTATATATTTTACACAACTAATCCCACCATGAAACGCAACCCATACCATCACTTTGACAAGACGCCAATAATGCATATGGAGGAGCCTTGTTTGTAGGTTCTTCTAGGCCAAAGGCCTCGCTACTTGATTTGGGTTTGATATTAACAAATATTTCCTCTTCGATTCTGAATCTAATTTTTTCATTAATATCAATATACAATTCAGTGTCATCATCCGGTTTCCAAACCCACGCCTTTTCGACTGGTTTAAAGAAACAGTTTTCGAAGAAATAATTCTTAGGGATGAAAATTTCATCGAAAAATTCTAATTTAACTTTGATACCTTCTGCAGAACATTCACTAACCCAACCAGTTAAAACTTCACCAATGAATGGCTTCCATACAACACATCTAAATGTAACTTCTACGAATGATGCACCATCACCTGGTTTTAACAATCCATCCTTTATATCTATTAAATCCCAAAGTGATATGACGAGACCAAGATTACTTATGACTTTGTTTGCAAATTTTTTGTTTAATTCATTTGTTATGGATTCTTGAATTGGGATGTTAAATGTATGAGGTGGTATACGAACCAAGTCTGATAGCTTAGATAATATAAACATTGTTGTTGATATATTATACTAGATGATTTTAGGACATAATTATTTTGATCTCATCGAGAATTTCAGAACCTCACTCATTAAATCTACTCAGATGCAAAAATTAGGAGCAATATATTGAATACTTGAACAATAATGAACAATAATAGTAATGGTATTAAGAAATCAAAGCTAAATACAACCAAATCATCGGATCGTCGTTTAGCAGCTGGAAGACAACCCGCCAATTATTTGCATAATGCAATTTTAAACCAGCCATCAAACATCACCAAAGTATTACCAAAATCTAATATGAGTCAGCATTCGTCCGAAACACAAAAGACGGTCAAGAGAGCAGGTGGAGGTAAGAGCTGGGAAGACTCGTCGCTATTGGAATGGAATCCAAATCATTTCCGGTTGTTTGTTGGAAATTTAGGTACTGATGCCACAGATGAGTTATTGGCCAATGCGTTTGGAAAATACAAAACACTCAGCAAAGTAAAGGTTCCAATGGATAAAAAAACGGGTAAAAACAAGGGATATGGGTTTGTAGCTTTTGAAAGCCCGGATGATTACTTTCAAGCATTTAAGGACATGAACGGAAAGTATATTGGGCAGCATCCAGTTCAATTGAAGAGAGCAGAAACCAATATCAAGCCCACGAAGAAAAAAAGCGACAGCTCTAAGAATAGTAGGAAAGGTAGGTAATCTATTAATTTTGTATAATATGTATAGTAGAGCCGTATAGGTTGAAAAGTAATATAATAGAGAATAATCCACTATATACGTTTAGTAAATGAGACGTATTAAGTCATTCTTGCAATTACAAACTACATAATATGCGAAGAGTAGTTTTTGCTATATATGTGATATTTGTTGACAGAAAAGTGAAGATTATCGTTTTGGTTGAAAAATTGTGTAGCAGAATCTGATGATAAAAGCGATCCAAAAAATTTTCCAGCTTTAACCAACTCTGATATTAAAAAATCTTACAGAAAAATATGCTATTATCAAGGATAGGATATGGCATTAGAGCCAGTTCGTTAAGACAAACAAGGGTTAATATACTAGGGTTGTCGCTAGCCCAACGGTTCAAATCGAATTTACCAGAAGATTTCAATCCTAGGAAGGACCTACCAACTAGTGGAGAATGGAAACACATGAAACACCATATACCAGGGGAAGCCGAACAAAAGAATGATTTGAAGAGTCGTATTCCGAAGTTTCCACTCGGCAAAGAAGCGGTTCCTACGTTATTGCCTAGACCAGGAGTGCCCCAGGTTGGCCCAAAATATTCGTTCAGACAAGTGATCCAGATTTTGAAGAATAAACAGAAGCCTGAATTGATCTACGAATCTGAGCCACACAGGTTATACTTCCTAGCATCGTTCTGCTGTTCGCTTGTCTTCGCTATATACGGGTTTGTTCTCTTAGAATATGCGTATTTCCAGGCTAACAAAGACTATGAAGAAAACGACAAGGAGCTTAGCGAGCCACTCAGAAAGCGAGAATGGTTTATTTCGCTTATCAAGTACTCGTCGATCGGTGTGATTGCATTGGCAGTGTCCACTGGATTTGCCAAATTCCCCACCAGGTTAATCAGAAGAATGTGGTATTTGCCAGGCCCAGTCGAACACGTCAAATTCACGTCATATCCACTCTTTCCAGGGGCGCCTACACCCGTGATTACGCTCCCGCTTAGCTCGATAACCAGAAAACATACGGCCAGGGTGTGGACCGGAAAAGGGTTCTACGGAACTGCCGACAACTCGATGTTCTGCTTTGTGCTCAAGGAAACGGGTGCCAGGTCGAGAAACTGGATTGTCGACAGAAAAGGGTTTTTCTGGTCAGATGGTAGGGTGTTTGACTTGTTGTTTGGCAAGGAGACAATCGCCGAGGCCGAGGCGGGTATTCCCTATGACGAGCAGGTCGGCATGCTCAACAGGGAGGTTGACAGAAAGAGAAAAGAGTTGCGGGCCAAACACGGATTTTTCTACAAGTGGAAAATCCAGGCTCAAGACATGACGCAGGATGTACAGGGAGCCACCAACTACGTGAACACGTTGAGGGGTTCCAAGAAGCCCAAGTCCAGTAATCAAATTAACGGCAAGAACGATAATATGTAAATAGATGTATTGAATATATGAATATTAAGTTTCACTTCAAGACACCGCCTTTCAACTCGCTCAGTGTTGCATTCTCGTGGTATTAGTTTTATTCAACAGTTCAACAGACTATCTTTTTAAAGCTAGCAAAATATGCGTAGAACAGATTTAATTCGAGTAATTGGAATGCATTTATGATGTAAATTGGCCCAGCGATAATCTTTCTCTCACCCACCCATCGTGGCCTTTAAAAACGGTTAAAGGTTCCTTTCGCTGCAAAAAATAACTGAAGTCTTTTGGTTTTGTTTCCCAAATCATGTAGAAGTTGATTATCATCCAACATCGCTATCCTTTTTTGACTGAGCTTTTACAATAAGGTCTTAGCTAGGTAATTCAGGGTCTAGTTAATTTTATAGAAGAAATTATCATGAGTCCAATACAATCCTGAGTTTATTGTAAATCTTGATGAGTGTAGAATAAAGTCAGACGAATATGAAATTCTGGATATATTGAACTATGGAATATTATTATTCTAAGCTGACTATTATGGTTAATTACTGGGTTGTTCGAAGACAAATTTAAGCTTTAATAGGTTAAACAATTTTGTATGCGCTATCACCATTCCACCGAATTGAGCATAACATAATTGGCCGTAGAATATTGTTCTTTTTTTTTTGAAAACAAAAGATGAAATACCAAACCTAAAAAGAAACATTCTAATGAACACTATACCTCATTTTCGGCAAGGCTAAATTAATTCTACGATATGGTAAAAATATTCACTTACTAGTTTGCTCTTGGCCGCAAATATAACAAATTTAAACCTTCAATTTTCATCTTCGGATAATGCAAATCAAGCAAACACGCTTTTTAACTTATCAAAATCATCCTGCTCCAGCCCGCTAGCATAAGTATTGATTTTGGCTTTTGCTAGTGCAAAACCAACGATGTACACTAGCCCTTCTTTTGTACGGAGAATATTGTCTTCTCTAATATCCCTGTGTACGATTCCATTCCGGTGAATTATCTCCAATTGTTTCTTGGCTTTCTCATATGTCTCCCGGTCCTTTGGCAACGAAACCGTTTCAATGTATTTGAATAAGTTGAAATACCCCTTTGCAATATACAGCTCTTCCATTGTAATCAGAATTTGACCAACACCTTNACGAACATAGCAACTGTTGAACTCGGTATCTTTGGATAAGATCGAATAGCATGATTTTTCCGTATTGTGCCATTCATGACATATATACCTCATTTGTCCACGAGTATAGATTTTGTATTGATCTCTATTCATGTTTCGTGGATCATAGACCTTTGCAACTACAAACTCTCTATCATCGACCAGTTCTAGTAAGGACTTCTTGAAGTAAAGAGATTCTAATTTAATCAACTGTGTGTTGAAATCATCTCCATCCTGTATGTATAGGTCATCGCTAATCCTAGATATATCAATAGATATCTCATCCTCCATGTTTTCTCTCTCTTCTCCTGTGCCTTCAGGAACAGATCCCAACGTAGATGCATTAGTATCTCTTGTACTGGGTCGATTTTCACAGCCCTCAGGCAGATCTAAAGTGGAGGCATCTGTATCTCTTGTGCCGGGACGACTTCCAGAGCCCTCAGACTGATCATCGCTGTCATAACTAGAAACAGCCTCTATCAATGTCTTCCCCGATAGCTTTAGATGTTTCTCCAACCTTTGAATCCTTTCTTGTTTGGTTAACATTTGTGAATATTCCTCTACTGAATTATAAATGTACGATAATAGTGATTCTCGTAACGTAGGTTTAGCTGAATGACAGTCTCGAATCATGTACCTGATTGGTATTATCTTTGGCTCATTGTCAGTTATTACATCTCTCAGATTGTGGACATTGCGCTCAAATGAGTCAAGGTCTAGTTCCACGAACACAGACGTATATGAATCTGTAAGAATACCTCTGTCAGTCTTGAAGTAAAGCATCTCGCATATAAGCTGCTTCATTATTTTCTTCTGGTCCGCGAAAAGGCTTCTTATACCATCTAGTGGATTGCCATTATACTTGGACAATAACGGATATTTTTTAGTCTCTATGACACAATACACTAGGTTCCCTCTACTAATAACTATGTCGGTTCGCGTCTGAAAGTGTATTCCATCAGGCGCCGGTCCATACCACGAAGTTGGTCGTTCAGTTTCAACCTTTGTCTCGATATGTAACGCAACGCTCAACATTGAGCATATGGGCTGAATCAAATATCCAAGAAATGCTCGCCTATAAGGATCTTCTAATGGTTTTTCGCGAGAAATCAGAATGTATTCATGGAAAGCAAATCTTGTAAAAGCTCTTGTTAAAGCTTCGTTTTCAGTTCTATTAATGATCTCCAATATCGTGTTAGCAACTTCATCGTTATCCATCTCTGTCAGGTAATTACAGTCATACTCGAAAAACGGAAATTGCCTAGTATAATTATTTGAGCTTCCTTTGTTACCACTACTTGATAATCTACCCCAGTTCTCTATTTCATATTCACACATAGGAAGAGACAAAATGAACCTGAATAGCTTCGTAGCTCGTTGTGGACAGCCTCCTATATACTCAATCATAAATTTATGATATTGATATTGATCTCTCGCATCTTTAATAAAACTCGCTACTTCACGTTTCTCTACCTTAAACAACTCCTGAATTAGAATTCGATAATCCACTGTCATCACTCCCCAACCTGGATAAAAATCATGATAATCGTACATCTCTAATTCATCCCCAATACATTTACACATTGCAAGATACAATGGAT